AGATCTATTGTGATGCTCCTAGGTTGTTAGAGCTCATTGTCTAGCTTGATCTCTTTAATGAGACTCCATAGCCTTGACCCTGACCCCTTCATATAGCTGGCAGCCTCTGGTTTCTCTTTCCCGCATCTTGGGTGTCTCAGCCTTGCTATCGCTTCGCATTCACAGAGCACATGCAGTGCGGTTTCTTCCTCTTCTTGACAGAACCTGCATTGGTCTGTCAGACCCATGTTGCTCATATGTTTCAGCTATACCCAATTAGTACACCCCCCACACCCTCACAACACAGTAAAAATAAATATCTCAAAGTGAAGAACATTATCTCGATTTAAAGAAATCTTGTGCTCCTATATTCATGGAGAAATATTTTTTTAAACTTCTCTCAAGTTGAATTTGAATCATTATTTTAGAAAATGCTCTTATTTGAAACAAGATAAAATGTATGTTCAAAACAAGAGATTGGCAAATTTGAATCAACGTGGAGGATTTTTCAGTTTGAATTAATATTCGCTTGCAGAGCTCGGCAAATGTAATAATGCAAGTGTGAAAAATTACGGAGCATTGGTATAATTTTCGCAAAATGAAGGCAAAATTAAGAGTTGCCGTCAAAGTTTACCACTTTCTCTTCCGTACTGCGTATACAAAGCGGTACTTACTGATAGAGTGGAGTTTTATCCAATTTTAATACATACACATGAAAATATCTTTCAACTGTGCAAGACCACCCCAGTCATGTAAAATCTGTTCCATTATGGTAGATACAGAATAATCGGAAAGAAAGACACTGCCTACAGACACATAAAATACTTTCTCCTCAAAATCGCAACACACCAACATCACTTTCCAACACATACTGGCGCGTACGCGATGCTTACAACGGAATTCCCCGCTCCCCTCTCACTTAAGAGGGTCATAGAAAGACCAGAGCACCACAGGTTTTTTCAAACTGAAGTGAATGAGATACTTCTTCAAAAGAAACCCTGTTCATTCTATACAAAATTACTGTTATTTTCAGTCGATCATAATATAGTTTTGTATGTAGATTCACACAACTCTTGTTATAAACGAATTGAGTTATTTGAAAGGAATACAGTATTAAATTCAAACAAACACTATGTGTTCAGATCAAGTTGATATTGCTCTCTATTTGAAACAGTTTATTTTTCCCTTCAAATAGGTGGTGGATTTTGAGATGATATTATATTTTCTTGATTCAAAATAGTTCATCTTCGCAATGATATAATCAAACGAATGATGTCGTTGAAAGGCCAAGAAATTTGATTTCTTTGTTGAAAAAAGTGTGATTTTCTGGGAGAACATGGCGATTTTAGCATAAAATAATAGTGTTTCCAATAGAGATAAAAATTTCAAAGCAACCTATGATCTTCATTTAAAGAAATACTTTTTACTGTGAACCTGACGGTTGTGATTTAGCAGGTCTTCCGTGAATCTGGGCGATGGTTTTTTTATAAACTCTTCCACCTGCCTCACTCCTGTGAACCTATTTCACCAATCTGTCGATTCGGCTTGCATCCATTAATTTATGCGGATATCTTTATACATGCCCTTGCTATCCCGCAGAAGGGTTCTGGTCTGTGCCGATCATAGCCTTGGATGCGCCTTCACGGGCTAGAATATCGGCCTCCTCATTGCCCTTGTGAACCTTATGTCCGGGTACCCAAGCTAGATTGACCCTATTTTGGGTACTCAGCTCCTTGAGTGCGATCAGACAGCTTCTCACCAGTTTTGGGAAGACTGGAAATGAGCTGAGCACTGTGATGTGTTTTGTGACTGTGATGTGTATTGTAATGTGTTTTGTATATCAACCTCAGAATAACGAAAGACAATAGAGTGGCCTTTTCCATCCTCACATTGAAGGCAGCATAACTTTGTTTGTTTACGAGAAGTAAGTTGGACCATAAAACAGTGGCGGTTGGTTCAGTCGATAATTGAAGGGATATTATATCGTTATAAAATTTATCATTAATGATTATGGAACTGAGGCCAGTTTCACTACCACCTACTAGATTTTTATTTATGTATAGCTTTATAATAAAGCGCTTGGTTTACTGGGTTAAAATTAAATTAGAAATCATTAATATTTATAATTACGATTGAGGTTTGATATTATTATGTGATTTCATTCAAAATTGGTATCTGGTGGTCTTTGTGGACCGACATTATGAAAGGGGATATTTTTGATATTTTTAATGATTATTTTTTTTTCTCTCTCTTATAAATAAAGTTTTTGAAACCAGTTTTATATTATTTCATTATTTGACATATCTCAACCAAAGAATGGTTGAAAAATGACAACCATCATTTCTTATTGAATATAGTCTGTATGCAACGTGAGAGCCTCGTGCAGAGAAAGAAAAACCAAAACGGAAATCATATTCTTTGTGAGACGTAAGTTAGTTGTTGAGTGAGCAATAATAACAGATTTAACACCGGTTTCACAAGAATAACTATTTAGTATATAAACTTAACAGTGAGCAGAAAGCTTTTTAATCTGTTGATCACAGAATGAATATGACTTATGGCACACATATGAAAAACATATTTTTCATTTTTGAATACAGTATTTTTCATTTACATTAATGATTTTTCGTTATTATAGAATTCGTCAACATGAATTAATGAAAAAAAACATAATGTCGGTCCACAAAGACCCCTAGATACCAATTTTGAATGAAATCACATAATAATATCAAACCTCAATCGTAATTATAAATATTCATGATTTCTAATCAAAAATTCTTTATATCAGACCTCACAAACCGTACCGCTTGTTTATCAAATCTGAGAATAAATCACAAATTTCTTCATCTGATTATATGAAGCAAAGTTCATTACTTTTGAAATTAACATTTATCATTGTTATGAATTAGTTTATTTGAAATAATTTGATTTTAACCCAGTAAACCACGCGCTTTATTATAAAGTCATACATAAATAAAAATCTAGTAGGTGTTAGAAAAACTGGCCCCATTTCCATAATCATTAATAATAAATCAGATTTCCTGTAGGAACTATTTGAATAGAATACATTTTCACCTGAAATGATTTATTTTATAAATTTATAATATCCCTCCGATTATCAACTTAACCAACCGCCACTGTTTTATGGTCCAACAGACTTCAAATGTAAACAAACTCTCCACAACCTCTCATTACCCGCCACCCCCTTCGCCCTTAAGTTGTACAGAAAAGGATAGTACGATACCCGTTTCAAAATACATGTATTGTATTGGTATAGGCATGGCAACTTTATGTCTTATTATTACTCTGAGATATCAACATTTCTAGATTGGCTACAGTGACTGTCGGAACCTACCTGTTATATTGTAAGTCTAGAGAGATGAATAAAGGTAGTTACACATCGACATGCGACTATAATGTATCAAGTAGTTTCATTCAAAATATAAAAAGTGCCTTAATTGCCGCCTGCCTGTTTATTTTCCCTATACAATGTTCAATGGCCGCTACTTCTGCCTGGAACACAGTTGCATTATGTCCAAGGCTGAGTGCGATTCTCGTCTTTGCTGTGCCTCCGTATATACCGGCTCCCACTCCTTCTAATGGAGTAACAATATACTGTATTCCACTTGACATTAGAGGTGACATTTGGTTACCCTATTTCAATAACGAAAATCAAAAATTCACTTTTGTGTTTGAGTTTACCGTTACTTCTGAACGTTATAATAAATGCAATATGATATAAAATGCATTATCTGTCCCAAATAAAATACGCTGTATTCAACAGGCCTGAATCGGTTAACCACGTAACCATAACCTCACAATTCAAAATGGATTTGGCCTTGAATTCAAATAAATTTCTTCAAACGCTAACGCCTCCCGTGGTTATCTCATGAACATTCAGAAAAACCCAAGCAAATTCATAATTTCAATTATTGATGATGAAATAATCGATTCCAGTGATAGAGAATTATCGATAATATTTAGAAAAATTGCTTCTGATTTTCACCAACGAATCCCAGATAATGATTTGAATAATAATAAGTTTTATCCCAGTCAGATCATATTCACATGATATTGGAACAGTTACAGACATAATGCACACATAAAATCAGATGAAATTACAATATTGGAAGTTTTGGAGGTTTTAATAATAACCAAGGCATCCGAGTGTCATAACTCACGTTATCTTTTTGCTCATGAATTTTGATATGTCATAGTAACATTCATCACATGTAAAGTTTTTAAGTTTTCTTTTGGAAACATTGACGTTGTCTTCCAATCTTAGACAGTTAGGCAGATGATTTAGAAATTAAATTCCTCTGTATATTGGGCTTCTTTCATACAGACTAGTTCCATATTTAGGAACTATAATGAAATTCTAATGTTTTTTTGTTATTGATGAAAGAATGTAAAAATAGATATATTTGCTATTTATAGTAGATTATTTGGAACACATTAATGGAAAGTAGGCTCCAAAAAAGGTTTTTTGAATATATATTTGATACTTTGGTTTTGCAGATATTTCAGTGGAAGCATTTTTTTCCTACAGATACATACTAGCCAAATCACAAACTTGATGTGGTTCAACAATTATTTTCCTTCATGGATTTTCAGTAGAACTCCGATTGTTTTGTCATTTTATATCATTACTTGTGGGGCATATACAATTCGTAAAGTTCAATTCCATCAAATTAATTCCATAAAACATTTTTGAATATTAATGACACCACTATTATGGTCTATAACAATTCATTTTATGATTTTCGTTTATATGCTCATTCCTTCAATCTTACATAATAAATACTAGAAAAACATACATTTTTTCGTCAGTTGGGAATCGAAAAAAATTAATGCCGACATCACCCTGCAAATTACCTGCTCGAAGAAATTCTCTACAGGTCTCTTATCTGAAGATCAGCACCTAATCTAAAATTACCTGTAATTGGAATAAATAATAAATGTATTCACAATTCTAAAGTGATCAATTATCAATTTTCAAATCTATATAATTTTCTTTTCAGTGATTTTGCTGGTAGTATCGTGGCCGTACCAAATCTACTCAATTCTCATAGTTACAACCGACAACTGGATGGCATTCTTAATGTTCTATTTGAACCTCTACAATAACTTTTCCATAATAGCCTGCGAATTTCAGTTTGTGAGTTTATGCTGGATGATCCAAACTAGATTTCGTGCAATGAATCGGGGAATCGAAGAACTGTATTCAAAAGTTTTGACAGCAGATGGTATGAATACATTGTAAAAATATTTCCTAAAATTTTAGGGAGTTCTAGAAAAAAAATCATGTATGGATCTTGAAATTATCCTCTCAAGTGAGATATGATTTAAATGTCTTAATTTCTGTTCTATTTAAAAGCAGTTATAATTTCATTGAGAAATCACTAATTTGAAATCTGAGAAAGACGGAGGGAGAGTGTCGAGCTTTTCACCTATCAGAGAGTTTTTCTAATGATTTTGCCTCTCTCAAACTGAATTTCTCCCAAAAGGAAATTAATATCAATTTTGTCAATACGCTGTTGAACCTCAAGGTTCCATATTATTCCCATCTATTATTTATCTATGTTGTTCATACGTATATAAATGAATTCCCTTCATATCGACTACAGTATTAGATAGTTTCTGAAAAGTGCTAAAATGAGATCAACGAAAAAGTACCTACTTTGCTTTCCTCAGACGATTTGATTAGAACATCTTCAGTACTGAAAAAGACGTTTATATAGTTCATTCAGGATTTACCCTTCAGATAGTCCTTTGATCATTTTGTATTCGGTAACAAAGGACAACTCTGAACTAATCATTATTATATTTGATAAAATGTCCGATATTTGATAAAAATTCATAACGTAATCAAGTGGAAATTCATTGTGAGATTTTCACTGAACAGCGCTTTCATACTAGCGAAACACGTGTTGCGGTTTTGTAAAGTGTACAGTGAAAATCTCACGATAAAGTGTCACTTGAAAAATTATTAGCAGTATTTTCAAGTGGAAAAGTGACTACGTTTACTATTGTTGCTGCTATTGTTGATATCACTTTCAAAATTATTTTATGAGAACGGGATGTACCAATAAATGAAGTTATTTTTCCTTTCTGTAGTCCAATGCTGTTTTTACGAAAATGGCTAATGTGTTTTCACTTTCTCAAGTGATAGTTAATGGCATGTGGATCCAAAATGACACATTTCGTTTCAATACTGTATAAAATCCATACATGTGAAATCTCTTATGAATCATTTTCATATCGCTTTCTGATAATTTACCACCATTCCAATTTGTTTCTCTAGTTTACGAAATAGCAGGAATTTGTTGGCTGACCCACAATAAAATTATTTATAGAAAGGAACCATATGCAAATTTGTATTGTTTGCAAACAAATAGTTATAGGTAGAAAGTTCGGTATTTTTCCTAATTGTTTTTCAGAACTTTAGCAATCACCTGAACTTTTCCAACTCAACTTTTCTATGCTATATTGTTTTTCTTCATGGATCTCACTTTTCTATTACATACTTCTATATTTCATAAGATAATACCATTCAACACAAAACCGCTTTCAAAGAATACAAAAAATCGGTTTCATTCTATTCTCTTTGAGGCAGGATGAACTCAGTTTGAGAACTTTTTAGAATGCAACCCTTTTTTTCTATTTTTGTGATTACCTTTTTCGATAATAATTTTTGTTTTCATTTCAGAAGAATTGATGAAACATAAATTAATTCGTCTCAAAAAATGCTATAAGTTACTGATACAATCTTGTTCCCAACTAAATAAACTGTATGGATTCAAACTTTTGATTATTCTCAGTGGACTGTCGTTGAACGTGTTGTTTGGTCTATATTTCTCAATTTTTGGTGGATTCGCAAAAAATTCCACCAAAACAAGTCTGAACTTTCAAAGAATATCAAATGTAGCCAACGAAATCATTTGGAGTTTTTATTACATGGTCAGATTTGTATTCATCTGTGTAGTTGCAGATTTGCTGATAAATGCGGTAAGTGAATTTTTCATCATCATAGGTGAATCAGTTCTAGTTTCAAATTAATTATTTTTTTGGCAGAAATTATCGCAAACAAATTTCAATTCTCTAGCTTTCGTGAATTGTGCTTTAACTGTTCGATAGATGATGATAATACCAAATATATAAGATGTATCATATATCATTATCCATACTGTAGGAGATGGTAGAGGAGGACATTTCTTACAAAAATATTCATCCAACATGGAGTCTAGTCCCTCACTATTTTTGAGTAATCTTCAATTTTGATTGTAACAACATAATGCGGAAATTATTTTTCTTCTTCCAATGATTTATTGATCCCAGCTTCTTTTATGGCGCTCTTCTCACTACTTGAATATGCAATGAGGAATTCGTATGGGAGATAAAAAGGTCTTGCTTCCCAAATTACTATGCTCTTTATCGCTTACTTTGGCCTTATTTGATTCTGCAAGTCTTCATACACATGATTTTTTTACAGACACTACTCCCACCTGACCGTCCGGTCCACTCCAACCTCCAACCGGCGTGAATGGTGTCATGTAATAACACTTCAGAACTCCCCACTTGGACATTCAGTACATGCCTTCAACCGACATGAATTGGGTTGCTGTGCACAACATAAACCAATAATGGGGTCCATGTTCTTTTTTTGTGAGATGAAACTGACAGAAATTCTTCTTAGCACACATAGCTAGCTGCTCCAGAGGTGCTTTCATCATTGATGTTAAAAACAGACTGTTCTATCCTCTGTCAAAAGTAAGATTAATATTTTGAATAAGTTGGTTAGGGAAACCCAGACAACGATGCAGATGATGGTGGTGAGACGATCTGGGTGGAGCGCTGTGAAGGTATTTTCGTTCTGGAAAGGATTGGATTACAAACTGGATTAAGCTTTTCTCTTTCCTATCGAAATAATGCATGTGTTTGTGGATTTCTATAGCCTCCTGCATTAGGCGACTATGTAATATTTCGTCTGACACTAGTAACTCAACTACTCCAAGGACTATTTGATGATCTTTCCCACTAAGAGCGTGTTTCGCTGTTTATTCATTTAACTATTCATTATGTTTGAAGGATTTCTGTTACTTTTCAGCTATCTTCTTGATGATTTTCTCTGGATATCATATCTTTCTTTGTTCAAACGTGACCAGCCTATGGACAAGAAAACCTTCATTTGTGTTTCTTATAAGAGAAACATCCAAGAATGGCAAATCTTTCTTATTTTCAATTCCATAGAACTATGAATTTGGGGATTTTTTGTTGACACAAGTCACAAAATCCTCTACCTCACTCTTATTCGTATCTAAAATGGCATATACATCATCAACGTATCGGGTCCAAGTTCGTGGAAAGTAATCCAACTATTTTATCGCTTCCATTTCAGATCTGCTCATGAATAGACTAGCCATAAAAAAGACAACGGGTTGCCCATTGCCGCTTAAAAAAAATTGAATTGGAAACAATTCTGTCCCATGCAAACTTTTGCGTGTTCTCTTCCACTACTCCACCACATGGTTCATTGGTTTCTAAAAGATTCTTCATCTATTAAACTGTTTTTGATATGGGGTTGGGTTAGGTTAGATCCAAAGTGAGTGGGTCTATTCGACCCTCCAACGCAACCCGTAAGGGTTTATTGTGGCTCACACCTATTCACACTCAACCAAATAAATACAGATCCTTAACGAAGCCGATGAGTTTGTATGGTGAGTGGTCTTTCAGGTCAGATGGTAAGAGTACGGTTCTGCCGACCTATAAAAACAAACCCGATTCGGTCCCCAACGGAGCAGGCACAAAGATGTGCTCTGCTGTTTCATCATCTTCCACACAGAGGACACACAGTCTTCTGACAATCCGAGTCCCTACATATGATGATTCAAATTACAGTGACCTGTAAGAAGGCCTGTTAGACATCGTAGTTCATCCCTACTGTAATCCAACAACTGTCTGGTATCAAGCTTCAAAGGGTGAATAAACGCCTTAGAGTGAGCCAATCCTCGTAGATTCTGCTTTGGGCAAAGCCCAAAGCGATGCCAATGATAGGTTTTGTTACGATGAAGCTGCTTGCAGCACCCTCCTTAACAAGGAAGTCAGCAGCCTTATTGCCTTCCAGGCCAGTATGGCCAGGAATTCAAACCAGAGACAATCTGTTATGTCTGCCTATCTAGAAGAGTCGTTTTTGGCAATTCGCTACCAATTGCTCGGTAGGAGCCAAGAGCTTTCAACGCCTCTTGACTGTCCGCGAATATTTTTATCAACTTGTATATAAGGTTGGATTCTTCCAATCTCTCCACACACATTTCAATAGCGTAAATTTTCGCTTGAAATACAGTCGCATAGGTTCCTAGGCAGGTTGATATCTCTATCGTGGATCTGCGACTGAAAACATTGATCCATCTGTGAATCTGCTCTCAATATTTCCTTCTGCCGAAGGATCCAGTCCTCTATACTCGGAAACAGTACTTTATAAGGCAGTTTGTAGTTGACAGTTGGAGGCATAAAGTCAAAGGTCATTTCCAGAATGCTGTGACTTCCAGTGTCAACCAACAGTCTGTTGCATTCTGCATTAAATTGATTTGGACAATTGGCAATGTGCACAAGTCTATATGCAGTCCATCTAGCCTCTCTCTCCAGAAAAATGTGGAGATGAGATAGATCTAGAAGGATCTCCGTGGCCACTGTCGGTGTGGTACTGATGGCACCACTGATCACCAGACAAGTCTGTCTCTGTAAGCCAGAGAACTTCGCCTGGGCGTTTCTAAAAGGTTCTTCATCTTTTAGAATGTTTTTGATATGGGGACACTTGAAACTAACAACGATACGTCCAAAGATACTAAAATCTCACCATGTAGCAACCTTATATCTTTGATTTTCTGAATTCTTGTGAATTGAAAACACAAACTGGGTTACGGAAGCGACAGGGTTTCAAACTGGTCTGTACGTCATTTGGCAATAACATAGTGGAATCTATAGCTGATGCGATTGGTTGCACCGACTGAATATTTTTGTTACCCTAGAATTTGATACTTGCGAACTTCTACCCAAATTCCGGGTTTGAAGATTTCGGTTTGTAGGTATCAGAGAGGAACTTATGTGCATCTTTTTTGTAAATAAATTGATTTCTTCTTCATTAGCTTGGTTTTCACTCCTCTTTACATACAGATGAAATAAATATTCTTAATCAATGAATTGAAAGATATAAAGATCATATTTTGTAGGGCTATCAATCCAGGAAAACTATTAGCAACATTTTCTGCAACTCTTTAGATGAAAATGTGAAACAAGAAGTGAGTATATGTAGGTTACGAAACTTAATTTTGATTTGAAAATCAAAAATCTAGTTCATTTGGAAAGAGTGAAAGCGGCCCCAGCAAGCATTACTCAGGCGAACAAGCTTAGGGAGCTATCCATGAAATTCTAACGAGTTCATTGTCATTGGCAACCGATATTTTGATTCAAAACCGTGATGATTCTCTCATCGAGGATAGGTCCCCTGGATGTCAGAACCAAGAATATTGGGTTCTGTATTTATTTACTAGAGCGACAATATTACTCCGAATTCATACTACCTTAAGGACTCGTTCACACGGGGGGCTCCTATACGGGAAGGTATACCACTCCTACCTACCGCTCATTCACACCGGGATCCCTTTAAGCTCCTGGCTCCTTGGGGTCAGTCGTAGAATGGATCGCACGCGAGCTATTGCCATATACCGTACTCTATCGTTGACACAAACCTCGACGACAGAAACGTCTACGATCAAGAATAAGATGGATGAAGTTGCAAAATCTATGTTGAGCACCTTGCAGACTTCCATCCAACTTTTTACGACTTCATTTCGGTTCTTATGAATGTCGAGACTTTTATCCCAAAGAGCGGATCGGTTGGAGACAGCACTAATCAACAGCTCCACATCGTAATCTGTCATGATGAATAGTGTGAAGCATCAACAAGGGAGAGCCGTTTTCACTCCTTCTGTGGAAGCCCCCATTCATCCTTTTGCACTTTGAGGAAGAGAGGTGCAGGAGACGTGAGAGATCTCGTCTTCCGAGACGAGAAAGCTCCATTGTACTCGTTGCATTTTGGCTCTAAGAGCCTTCCTCTCTCGGAAGCGAGAGACGTGAAGCTTCCCGTGTGAAAGGGCGCTTGGCGGTCATATGAAATTCTGGGGACAGTAAATCTACCCATTCTTGCTTCATCCGCTCAGCTTTAAAAATACCATTGGAAAGATTGCTGCACCAATGGCCTTGACCCAAGAAACACATTGTCCATACTCATTTACAACTATAAGTTGGAAGATAAGTACTCTATTTGCACCTAGTGTGTCAAAACTTTATGTTGATGGTGAAGACTCATTCTGCAACCCTTCTTGTCCACATTATCGATTCTCCCGTGGTTTTCGATTATGCCTAATTCTCTAGAAGAGCATTCCAGTTGGTTGAAATTATTTTTCACAATGAATTCATTTAGTTTTTATGCCTTTGACGGATTTACTTTGTACACTTGGTACACTTTCGAAAAATATTGTTAATCCAGCAGAAGTCGAGCGGAGTTACAATATATTTATTTCATAGTTGATAATGACGAAATACCCATAACTCAGTTTTGGTCAGGTCTCAACACATGTAAGAATCTCATTTTCATTTCTTCAATTTATATAAATTTCCAGCATTGTAATCCTCCATTATAAACCTTCAGACACGGTTTGGAAGGTAGATTTGAAAATAAACCGGGCATTATTCAAAATCGTTCAGAAGCTTTGGTGGATATGCCACTACTTCAGAAAAAATCGATGAAGTCGTTAGGGAAATTGGTGGATGAATCTCTCAAACATGTTCGCTCATTAGAAACACTTGGTGAATAAATGAAAACATGGAATATAATACTCATATTATTATTATCGGCAAATTTGTATTCGAAAATTATTTTAGAAGAAAAATGAATCATAGAATATGGAGAACTGGGTCTGGTTCTGGCGTTGAATCTGGTCATTATTACGCCTTGGTCAAATTCGAAACGGACTGGTTTAAGTTTGACGACAGTCATGTCACTAAGTGTTCTGGCGATATATTGAATTTATTGGAGCTTCTGGAGACAACCTACATTTTTAATGATAGAGAGGAAATTGACAGATCAAGATCTTCAGATGATGTGGTGCTGCAGGTTTTTCCGGGTTTTCCTGCAGCTGAAAAAGCAAATGCCCCACTGGAATCAATGAAGTTGCCCCGGAGCGCCAATTAATTTTTGTTGTTGTTTTATAACTTTATGATTTGTATTTTGGAAGTATTGTTATTGAACTGATTTATCACCTAAATTTTGCGATATGCTGCAATCATACTAAGTAAGAATTAGTGGAAACCAAGATAACCAAAAAGAGCGAAAATAAAAGGGCAAACTGAATCAGAACAAGCTGTTACTTTCAAAACCGTAAAGAATTAGAGAAAGAGAACTCGTTTTACTTATATAAACAGAGACAGTAGTTTCAAAAATGTCATTGATCCAAAGACGATTCTAATATTGCCATTGTTGTATTTATTTCAACTTGAAATAAATACAACCAGTTGGGTGCAAGAAAATTATCACAAAGAAAAGTACTGTTCTTTCAGAAACGAAAGAAACAAACAGGAAACGTACCCTATCAAAATAACTGCAATAAAGTAGCGTTTTTGAGATGTTCTTAAAATGATAACAGGGAAAACATGTTCATGGTGGACACTGCTACAACCTCTCATCCAACCAATCATATTGCGACTCTCAATGATTTTAAGACTGTAAAATGTAATGTTGGTACAGTGATGAAAAGTATTCGGTACTGCCACTGGCGATAACTGTATCCTAAGGATATTCTCCGAAATCTTGGTTATGCAGTCCAAAATTAACCGCTTCTGTCGTATTTCTGGAAAACTGATGACATTTGAATGCCAATTTCCTAAAAAATGATTAACCACACGCCAACCTGTAAACCAGTTAATTTTGATTCGATAACTGAACCAACAGTCTGTTGCATTCTGCATTAAATTGATTTGGACAACTGGCAATGTGCACAAGTCTATATGCAGTCCATCTAGCCTCTCTCTCCAGAAAAATTTGGAGATAAGATCTCCATGGCCACTGACGGTGTGGTACTGATGGCACCACTGATCACCAGACAAGTCGGTCTCTGTAAGCCAGAGAACTTCGCCTGGGCGTTTCTAAAAGGTTCTTCATCTTTTAGAATGTTTTTGATATGGGGACGGACACTTGAAACTAACAACGATACGTCCAAAGATACTAAAATCTCACCATGTAGCAACCTTATATCTTTGATTTTCTGAATTCTTGTAAATTGAAAACACAAACTGGGTTGCGGAAGCGACGTCATTGGCAATAACATAGTGGAATCTATAGCTGATACGATTGGTCGCACCGACTGAATATTTTTGTTACCCAAGAATTTGATACTTGCCAACTTCTACCCAAATTCGGGGTTTGAGGTTCTATCATTTCTCCTGTAAACCAGTTAATTTCGATTCGATAACTGATGAAAGACCGTTTCCCTAGCACTTCACAAACCATTTTTAGAAATTTTACTTTTAATATAATACCATTCAGTTATGTAGTAATTCCACATTGAAAAATATATGGTCTTTATCGATTCCAAATCAATTCGAATGAATAGTTCAAGACAGGTGTAGTCTTAAAATTGCCGCGGGAAAATTGTAAATAAGAAAAATGAAACTGGAAGGTGAAAAATTGACGAAGGTATTATCAGTATCTAGAATCTAGAAACTCAGCTATGGTGGTTAAGGGTGAACACATATAGCCTGAAATACTATTAGTATTAATATTGCTTTCGTACATTTCATTTCATGCCTCGTGAATTAATTTAACATTACATAAAGATTAGGTCAACTTGCAATTTCTTAATGTTAATATTTCTCCATTCTTCTGCGCTCGTTTCATTATAATCTTTTGTTCCGTCGTTCTATGTGGTTGTCAATATTTGAGGTATATTAGACTTGTTCATCATTGTATTGTTGCTGCCCACCAAAAATATGCAATACTTCAAAAATAAATATTCCAGTACTCCTAAAACAAACCCATTCAAAAAAAAATGAAAACATTCGTTCTCAATAATTCTTGAAGTAAAATTTGATGTGTGGAGTAAGCTGGTCAATGCGTGACGAGAGCGTTACGAAAAGTGTAATCGGGCGAAGCGAACGGAAGTGTTTAGTGGGGTATGAGTTAGTAAAGATTTAAAGAGAGAGTTGCTCCGTATATTACTGTAGGGGAAAGAGGGACAGGTCACACATTTACGGTTGATAAGGCTCTGAAGGAAAAAACTATCACGTTGCGCTAATTTCAGCAGATTTCAATGTTAATTTCTGGTCCGAAGATGGACAACTCTTGGTAAACTTTCTGCAAGATAAATTAGAATTACAAATGAATAATAACAGAAATGAGCCTACCGCAGGACATGAAACAACAATCGATGCAGTTTTCTCTAGATATCTTTCTAATTTTCATTCAAAAACATATGTATCTTATTTCTCCTACCATAGGCCTATTGTCTCAATCTCATAATCAACCACAGTAATTACTGAAGTATCCGATAATGAAATTAATAAATAAAAATGAAAACTCTATTCAAAAATGTTAATTTATCAATGGAAACCTATAATAGTTTCACTTCAGTCGTATGGTCTGAAGCACACTAGCTTTTTTTTATTTTTTCTATATTAATGGCTACTACTTTATCAATATAAACGATCGTAAAGTTATCAATAGTTTGTGCTTAATTTGAATCAGCCTGTATGTCTGCCTCATTTATTACAAAGGAAACATTCTCTTCTCCAAATGAAAAAGTCAGTAAATAAAATGAATTAACAGTTTGACAAATCAGGCCGATGAAATTCACAAGTGTTTTTGAGAGTATTATTATTATTTCGGTCCAAAAAAAAAATATAAGAATATCTGGCACCCTATCCGACTAATATTTTTATATTCCGTTATCAATTTTCACAAGGAGTGCCTGTCTTTTTGCAGAACCAAAAAGTCTTAACGTGAGATTTTCACTAAACCATTTTACAAAAACGTAACATGTGTTTCGCCATACAATGGCTTCTTCGGGCGTGTCTTAACTAATTCTACACAGTCAATGCTACATATACCTTATCCTAAAATTTGTATTGTATCATTCTAAATTTGTAATGAATTAAATTACCTGAGCTTATGTACCAGTTTTCACATTTGAAAATATATTTACTAACGGGGAGTTATTCAATTCCAATTGATCATTCAGTAAATTACCCGAATTATTGAATCTATTGATTTCTAAATATTCTAGAAGATTGAGTTTCAAACTCTTCTCTTCTAAATGTAACACATCGTATTCATGATTGAACTCATATCCTTCTGCTAAAAGGTGATTTGCAAATGTGGAATTGGTCTTACTATTTACAAAACTACTTCTACGCTCTTTAATTCTTCGAGAGAATGTTCTCCCTGTTTGGCCAATCATATATCAAAAAGTCTAGTTTCAAAATACGTGTTGGAATATATTTCAGAATGGCAAAATAAGTTTCTATGCTGATCCCATCGAAGTACATGAATCACAAGTATTTATTTGGGTATGGTATTGTTATAGTGATCAGAAAGATGCATGGAAATCCCGGTGTTTACACCGATTTGCTTTTGTTTTGTTAAACACTCTCGACACAAGAAATACAATTGACGCAACTTTGTACACATGTTAACAGATGAAACAAGAATAGTTTCCAAATGTGAACATTGGTGTGTTACTTAGCGCCTCTATGAATGGAATGCCGAAGTGCGTTAGATGTCTTGATTTCACAAAAAGTTTCGGAATCTTTGAGAGTTTATGGTTTCATTGTTAGAAATTGCAGAAACTTTCATAATATTAAAGCTATGAAGCTGTTGCATTTCACCTACGTACGTTCGAAGATAGAATATGCAAGTATCGTCTGGATTCCATTATATGAGATTCATAACATCGCCATTGAAAGAGTTCAAAGAAAGTTTTGTAAATTTATAATTTTCAGAATAGTGGCTTCTAACCCTGAGAGAGGTATCAGTAATGAGGTCATGTATGAACGTTTAGAACTTTTTAGTTAAGAGCATCGCAGAAAATGTGCGTCGCTCATATTTTTATTCAAACTAGTGAATGAGAGAGTTGACTGTCCTAAAATTCTGGAACAAATTAACTTCAATGTACCAAGGCCAGTTTCACGATCTCAGTCCATTTTTAGACCTCTCAGAGCAAGAACCAACATTATGCTCAATTCTCCATTATATGTTACGTGTATGAATTTCAATAGCATTTGTTCCCATTGTGATATATATCTCCACTAACCTTTTCGTTGTTTATGGTCAAGTATTGTGAATGTAATTTTATATTGTCCTGTGAATGGGTAACTGTTGGACAATAAATATATTTTTTACTGGAGTATGCGCTGGTCAGGCCCTATCCCCCGAATCCCAGATACATTCAGAAGGGCGCGAAAGCATCATCAACCAACGACCATTCCCCACACCGTGGGGTTAGTGATCATTGGCTACGAGATCATGTGCCCTAAGCAAGCACAGTGTGCCAAGAATGACAGCCTTCTGCATCTGTCCGGCTAAGATTTCTGCCTTAGTGCGACAGGCCGGTATGATTTCAAGATTCGAGAGTAGAAAGGGCATCATTCCATCAAGAACTCCAATATTCAGAATACGATATTTTGCACAAGCTTCAACTTCTGAGGGTTGTCGTTTGTAAGAGGACTACAGCTGGTTTACGGAAAACAGATTCTTTCCACTTCATTTCCTTATTATCCGTCACAATAAATTATCATATTTCATAAACTGTAACGAATAATGTTAACGATTTTATTTTTTAGTTGTGGATATTTTTAACACTTATATCTACCAACAAAATCCGTTTATCTGCTTGCGGGTTTTTCACCATAAACAAAACTCTTGTAACCTCAGTGAGTCAAGAAATGAATTATTTTCTCTTATTGTGAAACTGACTTTTTTCGTTTTTCAGGCAGTATCAATGGGAACTACTTATTTGGTTATTCTCGCACAATTTCAGAAGAAATGAAAATAATTCAACTGGAAAATTCTTACATTGCAATTTAAAAATTGATCATCAGATAGGCTATTTTGTCAACCACCGTTAATAGATTTCTTACTGACAAGAAGTCCTGAAGATCCAAACGAAGCACTGGGAAAATCAGTGCAACATCATCAATAAAAGAGAATCAGTGGGAAGAAACCACTCTAAAATTTATGTATCCATTCATACAAACAAAAAATACTAAAAACTATCAGGAATAAGGTTGCTAAGTTTGCTTTTCAAATTCAGTTGAACTGGCAGAAGGTTATCATCATAAACTCAAATGCAAAACTTGTATAAACATTTTTATAGATATTTGGAATCTACGCTCATTTATACTGAAAATATCGAAATTTTGTTTAAGATATTCATTGCCAATTCGCAAAATTCGTCTGAAAAAGTTATGAGAGCCATAGTTTGTACTATGATATGGTACTTTGAATTATTCAACATTACGAGTTGAGCTGATTGGTACTTTAATTAACTCCAAAAGTTCTGGACAGGAAATACCATTATTGACCGGTTTGATAAGATCGAATCTAACTCTTGAATTCTGCAATGTCGACATATTTAGAAAGGTCAAAATATTCTCATAGGTAAAAACACCAATTTACAGATTTATTCTATAAGCTATATGTTTTAGATATATGTTTTGAACAGCTTCTAGGCTATCTTTATGGACATGGTAATATGGAGCCCACACCAGACATGCATACTGTAGAACTGAACAAAGCAATAAAGAATCCTAAGAATGAGTTAACTGATATTTAACAATATGAATCCCAACATATTGTATGCTTGGCCTACTAGAGTGTTTATATATGTGAAATATAATGTTAACTGGATCCTTTATTTTTTCTTTCAAAATTGAACCATTCAGTTCGTTGATAGGTTTACCGGAGGCATGATGATATGCATTTTACAAATAATATGGATTTTTACAAATAATCTAAGTGCTGATCACAAATCTTGGCCACAGCGTCACAGCACCATGTGACGTCACTGCAAAGAACAAAATGTGACTGTGTTACGTCGGCAGTTGTATTGGTTGCCTTATTAGTGGTCTTTGATTTGTATTTAATTAAACAATAATAGAGGAGTCCGGCTCTGGGTGCATGTAATATAGTTCACATATCAACCAGTCCATTATTGACTTATATTTTCATCGACATCGAAGTGTATTTAAATTGTGAGAACCAGCGAATGGATTTGATATCACTTCTCCGTTCATATACAATCATCGAATTTCACGTATAGTACCTATACTTTTTGAATACAATCTCTACATAATTTTTTATTGGTACCAATAGTTCGTGCCGATATCGAATAGGCAGGGCCGAATTCAGGTTACTCGTGACCAATAAAAAGAAAGTTTCCCTAACAAAATGATGTCCGGTTCGACAAGTGTTTCTGATCACAGGAACCAGAATTCCACATCAGATTTTAAGACCATCCAACCAATTATCTACCAACATGTCGTATTGTGCAGCTCTGAATCAACAATCTCCTCGGTTCCCAAGTGAAAACCAAGCCGTTATCTTCAGCTCCACAGATAGAATTTAGATATATATAAAAAAATAGAAAATATTTGCCGAGGTTGTGGATAAAATTATTTCAAAACGAAGTTAATCGAAGAGTGGCTGCAATGTGTATTATACAAGTTGTGGGTGCATGAAAACTGCACGGAATTCGAAAACATGTGCTCTAACTGTGGCAACAATTAAAGAAAGCGCTCATGGAAGGAAGTAAAAAGGAAAAAAGGAAGAAATCTCTCAAATAATTCACTGGCCATCTTACCTATACGCGTATGGCCATCTGTTCTGTATAGTCTACGATAGATGGCCAATTGTAATTATTTTTCTTTTTTGACTTTCAATATTCAATATTTATGAGATTCTTGTTGACTTTCATTATAAGATATTATAAGAGATTATAACTCAATTTATCCGACTGTTTTATTTCTAATAGTTTTGTTTTTACTCGCCCATAAAAAAATTATGGCCATCATTCCTAGACTTACCCTATATAACTTTCCACATTCAACTTTCTCAAGTGGTCGACGTTTCGGAAAACAATCTTTTTCCGTTATCAAAATCCAAAATTCATTTTAAAACGTTCGCTTCAAGCTGTGAATAGCTTCAAATCTTTTGATATAGGTTGAAAGAACGAAAATATAGTTATGTTATCGACATAAAAAATTGCAAATAAGCAGAAGAAAATTTGGTATCATATCATTCCCAATTGATAATGATTATCTATCAGGGGAATAGTTCGTTAGAAATCATTGAGATAAAGAGATAAATGAATAGATAGAGGCTATCAGATAGGTTGCATTATGAATACCTGATCGAGAGTATTTCCGTCAACTCACGTAATCGGCAACAACACAAGTTACCCCATAAGTAGTATGATCAAAAATACAACTTGAAGATGTTTCATGGTGAATTTTACTATTTCGTACTTCCATTGTCTAATATAATATAACATGGTTTGAAATATCTGAAAGAACAAATAAAAATTTAAAAAAAATTAAATGAAAAGCTGAAAATGACAAATATATAAAGCAATAAAACGTGAAATCAAATTACAATACAATTGAAATCAGCAAAAAATTGAAAATTGAACAGTTAGAAATGAAATGGAAATTTCAAAAAAAATTAAAAGTTTTCAAAGCAAGTTACTTCACGACGTTTCGATTATTAGTATCCACAATCGTCTTCGGGTGATGACTGGACTATTCATTAAAGAGATGACTATAGGTCATTCGAACGATTTCACCTGTTCCCTCTTCCCTCTCTCTGCTTCACGAGTTTAACAAGCGTTGACCGTTTTTCCGCTTGATTACAGATTTCCATATGTTGCGTATATTTACGCTAGCTTGGCTGAATGCGTCGTTGGACAACATATATGCAACTTCTGTGAACTTCCTCTCAAACCACTGTTTCTCGCTGTTAATGATCTGATTGGGACCACTTGATGTTATGTTGATGAATTCAAACATGCTCTGCTATTCCCGATTTGCTAATTTCTCCTCTCTCTGTGTTTCTCTTGTTCTCTACAATGCGGACTTTCAGTGGCCTCTCAGTTTCATCGTTATAGGATTTGCCGCACTCACAGGGTATCTGTTAAATGCAATTCTTGAAATCTCAGTTGGCGTTTGTTGGCCTGGTGTTCATGAGCCTGCTACGGATGATGTTTCCAGATGATATGTGGCAGGTTCCACCAAAGTCTTGATGATAGATGGTAGATTGATGGTGGTTGGATTGTGGTTTAAAAATCTTCTGTTTTAAAATGTGTTTTTCCGTTGATCAGCTGTCGCCCCCATACGAACGACAACTCTCAGAAGTTGAGAAACTTGTGCGAGCTAAGGACTAACGAGGTCTTACCTTTTAACGTGTGATTCCTAACACGGTTGCAGAATCATCCCAGCTTCAACCAGATACATTCTCTCGAGAAAAATATCTGGTCGAGGCGGGGATCGAACCCACGGCTTTCCGATCGTGAGTCGTGCGCATTACCACCACTGGACTTGTGATTCAGTTATTGTCCTGTGTGAGTAGGGTTTTGGTATACAGATGTTTTCCACTCAGTATCGGTCCTCTTTACCGCACCACAATATGGAGTACCCAAAATTCACAATTGTCAAGATGTTTACTTCCAATTATACCTATACACTACTAGGAAAGAATTCTGAAGAATTCCAAGCATTTTGTCGAAATCACGGAGCAAAATCAAATTATCATTTTTGAAAGGAAAGCCTTTACCAAAGTTTCTGTCAAAGAAGCACTTCAAATCTTACAGAGGAAGCTATCCAAAGACGATGACCTGGAAGATAGAACGAACTCACCTACAGAAGAAATCATGGAATTACTAGAATACTGTGTACGGAACTGAAGGACGAATTTTTTGCGCAGGATGAGGACTGCCAATGGGATCGCCACTTTCACCAGGTATAGCCAACATATATAGGAGTGGTTTGAAACTCTACCCATTGAAGAAGCCCACAAGCACATCAACAGCGTAACACCTTCCATTACCTTCACAATGGAGAGAGAAATCCACAACGAATTCTTAGACGTATTGATGAAGAGGACCGACACTAAATGGAAAACATCTGTATATCGAAAACCCACTCACAAGTGACAATTCTGAATTACCAATCCAACCACCATCAATCTACCAAAAGAGGAATCATCGAGACTATAGTGGATCGTACTTTTGGGTTATGTCTCGAGAAGGAACTAGACATCATCAAAAAGATATTCGACGGTTACTTCAAAGTGATGGTGGAACAGACAGCAAAAGCCTCACAAGAAACAGAAGCCGCCACAACCAGTGCTTGTCCTTTCGCTTCGTCAGAGGATTGTCGGAAAGGATCAGAAGCAGCCTAACAAAAACCAGGCCGCCATACGCGGACTGCGAGTCCAAGAATTGCATTTAACGGATACCCTGTCTGCGCGGCAAAACACACAGCAAGGAGAAACCAGCATGTTTGGACTCATCAGCATAACATCAAGTGGTCCCAAGCTGAGATCGTCCACATCCCTGTGGATGATCTCAGCTGATGTGAGGAGAAGTTCAAAGAAGTTGCATATATGTTGTCTAACGACGCAATCAGCCAAGGTAGCGTAGAGATACTCAACATATGGAAACCTGTAATTAAGCAGAAAAATGGTCAACTCTTGCTAAACTACTACCTCGAAGATCAAATTCATTTCCAATCCCCAATAAACAAGCTCATTCCGTCGTTCATTATCAGTAAAATGCAACAAAATTAACAATTATATTAACAAACTGCGACCCCAAAGGTCAATTTCCAATAAACAACCAAATGCGTCACAACGAATATCGTGTGGGCGAGGCATGGCTCGGCTGGTCTCCATCGGCTGTGCCCTTTTGGCAAAAAAACGCCCTTTATGTTATAGGGGTAACTATTAAGACCGTTTTGACACTTCTTCTTCGGTCACCCCTTCTCATCATTGATGACAATCGACAACAGGGTTGCTCAAGAAGTTGCGTCATTTCATTGCCTTCTCTCACTCACCCCCAGGGTCGTTCATTAAGCCCCTTTTGGCACATCTCTTCTGGTCATTGACGATCTACAAGAACTAACAGGGGTGCACAAGAACTCTCAGGTGTGCATTTAAGCCTTTTTGGCAACTCTTCACATACCTGGTAATCACCCTTTCTGGTAATGGTTGAGAGTACTCAATGGACTGTATCTAGATCCACGTTAGTATTACTACTCGTGGGTTCGTCGGGGTACCAAAGTTAGGACTCTAGTCCTTCCTATACTATGCGAAAAAAATATACACATTCGTTTTGTCGTTTTGTGTACTTTGAACCTACAGTCATGTTTTCTATAATTCACTGCACTGAAAATCTGAAAAATTCAGAAAGACCCTTGCTGACTGTATTATGAACAAAAAGTTTGAACTTGGTTCAACGATAGGTTTATATTTAATTATTCCAAAACCAGCTATCCTGTATAGAATTTATTAGCTACATCATCAGTCATGAAGAAATTTTGGTATAAAGGTTATATGTCAAAAAAGTGCTCTTTTGTAAGGTATTCCTTATGGAATTGGCTGCGGTGGTAGTGCGCCCGACTCACGATCGGAAGAGCGTGGGTTCGATTCCCGCCTCGACCAGATATTTTTCCCGAGAGAATTTATCTGGTTGAAGCGGGGATGATTCTACAACCGTGTTAGGAATCACACGTTAAAAGGTAAGACCCCGTTAGTCCTTAGCTCGCACAAGTTTCTCAACTTCTGAGAGTTGCCATTCGTATGGGGGCGACAGCTGATTAACGGAAAAACGGATATTTTTTTTTTAAACACATTCCGTAGTTCTGTGCTCAAAGAATAGTAACAAATAGTTTTGAGATGCTTATTAATTTGTTCATCCGATGTGTTGAACATGTTTGCTTTTTGGCCATTTGATAAATGGAATAGTCAATGTTAATTTTCTATTTCATAAATTATGTATATTGAACAAAACGTCTCCAAAATTAAAAATATAACGTTTGAGAAATGATCAATAATCCATTCGGATTGCTGGAAAGCATATGATTGCCTTTCTCGTGAAGGCTACAACCACTTGAAAGTAAACCATTCAATAAATTTCAAGAACTCTGAAACGGGTGTACACACCAATGCCATTGAATCTTTTCGGAGGCACGCAAAGGCGGTAACAGTTTCCAATGAACGTAAAAAAGCGCATATTCCTGGAAATCTTGCTCGCACATGTTTTATAAAAGATGTTCCCAACTCACCTTGAACAAGATATAGTCTGTCAAAGTTTGTATATGATGTCATATTTTACCTTTTTTACCGCAATAAATGATTGCAATTCACATATTTTTTATGTTTTCGATATCATCGCACCTTTTTCTACCGCTTTTCATTCAGTAATCAGTTATTGCCACGTTCTTGAAACCAATTTTTTTTTTCGATAATCACTTAGAAACCTATAACGTTTTTGGAATTTTTCAACTTTCATTTGATTGACATTTATACCTAAAATGAGAATAATAAATGACATGGAGGAATAGAATATTGAAAAATATTGATTTGCGCATTTGTTGGTGCCTAATTACGCTTGTTTATCTGTCAATAACTGCTTTTTGGTTATTGCCAATTTTCCTTTAAAATGCCGAATATTAACTTGATGTATATAATTGTGAACTGTGTGAGGATACAGACATCTTGTTAGCGAAGTTGCAAGAGTGGACATTAATTCCAAACAGTGTGAAATGTTCTAAATGTAGAAATGATATGAGTCTGCATAAGTCTTGGGACAGGTAAGTCAAGCGCAACAAATTCGTACGCTTTTTTATTCGATTTCTTTCTTTAGAATTGTGGTATGCGTTGGGTTTGGGTATGATACAGAAATACGCAATACTCAAACATAAATTTAAGAGTCACAAAATATTTGTAATGAGTAATGAAACAAAGTATCCAATCATTCTTAAGAGGAAACGTGTGTCTTTCAAAATTATATTATCACATCAAAGCTGGACACCAAAGACAAGAATTTGTCTCAAAAGTATTAGGTCAGAAATTTTTGATTGTACAAAACAGTTCCACAAAACTGTCTCCACTACCAAGGTACAGGGCATAAGTGCATTTATTAGACCATACACTTTTATAGATATGGACTATTTTAATGGAATTTCACCATTGGCCGTCTATATACCTGTTTGACAGTTCATGTCATTCATCTGGAAGTTTCATATCCTCTTACTACCGACATTACCATAATGACCATCAGGAGGATGATAGCAAGAAGAGGCTGCCCGAAGAAAATGTATGCTGATAACAGTAAAAACTTGAAGGGAACAGAAAGAGAGATGAAAGCAGCATTGATAGAATGAACAGTGTCGAAAATTAGCTGAAATGATTACTAGAGGAATCGAGTGCATTAGGATACTGCCAATGACACCACATATGGGAGGCTGCCGGGAGAGGATGGTAAGATCTATTGAAACAGCTCTCAGTAACTCTTGAAGGGAAACCTCCAATAGATGAAGTTTCATCAATTCTTCTCATTGAAGCTAAAAATATTGTCAAAAACTGGCTTTTATTTCACATTCCGGTGGATATAGCAGATGGCGAGGCTTTAACGCTGAATCATTTTCTTTTTGGAACTGCAAGTGATTCTTCAGCTCCATGCGTTTTATCTGAAAAGGATTTTATATGGAAAAAGCAATGGAAAATAGTTCAATTTCTAGTAGATTGCTTTTGGAAAAAGTGGATCGGAAAGTATATACCCATTATCACAAAAAGAACTAAGAGTGGTATGAAAATAACGAAAAATTGGCTGTCTGAGGTACTGTTGTGATAATCAAACAGAGATTTGCCAAAAAATAGTTGGCTGAAAGGTATGGTTATGGCGGTTTTTGCTGGAAAAGGTGTAAGAGTCTGGAGTGTTGATGTTAAACGAAGCTAGGAGTTTACAGAAGACCTCTTTTGAAATCATGCCCTCTAGATATAGAGGTTTATTTACATATTCTGGAAATTCATGTTCTAAAAATTATTTCAATTTTAGGGAAGGGAATGTTGAAAATTAATTTCATTATTTATGTGGCCCTTCATTTAATATTCGATTTTATACAAGGTTGCCGTGAAGAAAAGTTGTTATAGAAAAATATCAGGCATTGATGTATGTTAAGATTAGTAATATACACAGATTTTTGGTAAAGTATTAGCCAGTTTTAATAGCTATTCAATAATAGTGAGTAGCAAATTTATTAGTTATTCAATAACAGCGAAGAATAATAACTTATGAGCCCAACAACATGAAGCTCTTCAAGGCGGACTGTTGCAAAGCTAAGCTTAGACATGACCACCAACGAGATTCCTCCTCTGTCTTCCACTGCAAGGCAACTAGCTGAAAACCAGAGTCCAAACACCAGACAGCACTGCTACGACCCGCCATAGGTCTCATCAGTGGTGCTAGGCTGATCCAAAAATGCATTGTTGGACTCAACTGCCTTTAAAGAACAAGCCTGAGTTTATGAAGATGATATCTTCCTTTACAAAGATACCATATACGGGTCGATGTGTCTTGGTAAGTTGTGTTAAGGCTCTGGTTTTCAGCTATTTGCCTTGCAGTGAAATACAGGATAAATCTAGTCGGCAAAGCTTAGATTTGCAACTGATTGCTTTGAGGAGCCTCATTCAAGTGATATTCAAGGACTAAGTTCTCTGTCGCTCCCATAGATAGCGTCTTCGCAAGGGGAAACGGCATCGCCTTCACATACATCTACTTCAATTTTCCAGAGGATATATTTCTACATAAATATCAACTCTTTGTCAATCACCTCCTCCGCACAACAACCCGCATATAAAAATTTCAAATGAGAAAATAATAATCGAGTGAAAGTTTGTGAAATTTTTAACATTACAACAATAAGCAATGTCAGTAAAATACTTATCAATTTTGTGGAATACTTTACTTCATCAAATGTTCAAACGGAGCACCATTAACTGGTAATGTTATAAATAATCTTTTGTTTTGTACCTCACATTCTGAAGAATATCAGGTATCAGTAGCCTAGAGCACATGACAATTTCTTTTTGTAAATTACTTACAGTAGCTAGCTGTGCCTTGTAGACTTTCAATTGGAACCATCCCCATATAAAAAATACGGTATAGTCAATTCAGGAAATTTTATAGAACCTCTCATTCCAATCAATCGACCTGTAAAGTTATTGTCGAAGAACTGTCACTCAGATACTTTGTATCTTGTTGAAAAACTACCCTATTTCACAATAGAGGATCTAACTGGATTGCAGAGTTAATGCTTGGCATAACTTAATTATTTAGCAATTAAAATAACCTTCAACATTCAGATTTGCTTCTAAAATAAATGGTCATATTAATACACCTTTGACCCAATATAAGAGAAATATAAGGCTTTCAAGGCAACAATATAAATACAATTTTCAATTATGTTCTATAAAATCATTCATCCTAGATGCCTCAGTCAGGTTAACATCCATACAAAACTAAGAAAACCCAAGGCAACAACTTGGTCTTCATGGAATACTCTCATAAGAGAGTTTCGTTGAGATTTTAGGAAATTTCAAAGAATGTTTTCCTTGTAAATGTTTTACGATTAGAAATAATAAGTGATAAGTTATTAGCCAAGCACGAACCATGCATCTCATTCAGGTCATTCTAAAGTTGCCTAAAATCAGTTAAATGTGATATCGGTAGATACATTTTCAAATCATCTGCACAGATCAACAAATTATAATCTGAATTGAACATTTTAAATGATATTTTTGAAAAACCTGATATTGGATAGGACAAAATGCTTTACAAAATAGTATACTCATAGGCCCAGCCAGTTATCAAGTTAGGCAAAGAAAGTTGTTTGCACATCTTGCTGATATTTCATTTGGAGCAAAAATCATGCAATTATTAATTAATTCATTCAGAAAACATTGAAATTGGTTATGGTTTTTCAGAGATGACAGATTGAAAATCTGTAAACACCATTTTTTTTTCAGAATTTTCCAAATTATCTTATTTAAATGAATTTAAAAAGTCATGTGAATAAACTTTAAAATTGGCAACTTTTTTATGGTTTAATCGATTTTGTATTTTAGAGTACATTGTTGAGTTCAGATGCATACCAATTTTTACAAATGAGTAATAAAAAATGAAAAAGTTTCTGGCTTATATTTTATTACAAAATCAGCTCATTGGCTATATTTGAATTATATGGGTTTAATTTTGAAATGTAAACCAATCAAAGAAAACACCAAGCACTTCAAGTCCTGCACAAGATAATAAAAGCACCTCAATCCTTCTGGATCCTTCGACTGACTCACATCTACCAGAGACCCAGTTTTCGATGTGGTAAATGAAATATGTTCATCTTTTATTACAATTTCCAATTCTTGTCTTCCAATACGGTCCGGAGGGGGCCACAAAGAATCATCTTCTTGCATTATTTCGGAGTCGACGATGATTCGTTTCAGTTCCTCCATAACACACTGGTGAACATATACTTCCTTTCTAATCATGGTGTCGTTTTTATAATTGGAATTGTTGGCGTATCTTAGTTTTCCATCCGGGCGAAATTCGAACTCCAAGAATTCATGGCCGAATTTTCCTTTATGTCCAACATAATACCGAATATAAAAATCGGCCATAATCGATAAGTTTATGAAAACGGAGCGTTCCTTGCGAAAGAGTAATAAATTATAACTGTAAACAGCTTGATGCTTGATACTTCTTCGGATTCCGATTTGAAATCTAACCTCTCTTATGCGTCTTTACTTTTTACAATCGTTTTATGGCTCTTCCTTTGGGGCAATACTGACAAGGTTTTGGTTAACGGACAACTTAGCCGATGTGTTACAATATAGGGGCGAAATAGAATAGAATAATTTTTTCAGAAAATATAATAAATGGAAAACAAATAACAATGAATGTTACAATAAATATTTGATTGAACGTTTCGTGTTAACACAGCCAACATAAACTTCTGTTTTTCAAATTCGTAAATGTCTCTTTCATTACAAATATAGATAAAGCGATGAAGTCATAATTCAGTGATGTATCAAACTTGATATTTTAATACATTTCATTTAAAATAACGAACAGATAAACAATTTATTTTTTAAATAATTTTTGGGAGTATATGAAACCAATATAGAAAATGGTTTCTACATGATGAACTACATTTAAAGAGCAAATCAAAATGCAGTAAACCTCATGACAGAAAACATAACCAGCTGAATGGATCAGCAGTTTACCGCTGTTTGTTTTTGATATCAATCACTGTTTGTTTTCTATACTAGCTTTCTCATGTGTGGACATTTTCCCTATCTATGGATAATAGGATTATGAACTTCTATTTAATTTTGGCAACACTGCTTCCAGGTTTTATGTTTAGTCTGTAGACTGTGTCATGGTGACAGGTAACAGTACATGCCTTTCTGTTGTCTGTAGGTTATTTCCAATTACTTTCCAAAGTTATAATTTTGTTGTTGCTGAGCATTAATTAAAATGAATATGAAAATAGCAAACAATGAAAATGTGGATCTGAAGGAGTTAGCTCTGATGAAGATCAATTTCGGAGATAAATTATTGGAACTTATTGAAGATTTCAAAGCCATTGAGGGTTCCCAAAAATTATATAGAAAAATTGGCCAAGAATTAAAATTTTTAAAAAAGGTACTTTCTACTAATGGTAATGATATCAGTCAAGATAATTCAGTGCCCTAAAATTCTAGGCCTATAAAAACAATTCAATCAAGAAAGAACACTTGCAGTGCTCAAATCTGACACATTTCTCAGCACTAATAGATACTTTAAAAGATGTAAAAACCTGTCAGAGCATAAATAAAATTTTCACTTTGGAAGACCATAAAATACATGTGGATATAATAAGTGATAATGGACTCACCTGGATTAAGGTCATTGCTAGGAACCCCAAGTCATTGAGCCAGATTTGTTTGGGAAATGGTAGTTATGGGGTTAAAAGTATTATTGACCAAGCTGAAGAGTATGTTAAGTGTGCAAAGCTCTATCCCTGTTTATTTCAAACTCCGAAGGTACCACCAAATTGATTTATAAGGTAAATGTACCAGTTGTGGGCCGTTTACCTATTATGGCAATTATTCGTTTATATGGTTCATGCTTATGAACCATTATGAAAATTGATTGCATTTGCCTACATATTTTTGTTCGCTGATCATGAATCTGAAGTCGAAACTGGCACTCCATTCTATTTTTAGAGATACAGAAACTCAAAAGTTTAAATTGAAAGGGTATATTTTTAGGAGAGATTACCTAATTTTTGGGAAACAAAGTTTTTGGCTTTCTACTTCATCATCTTGATACAAAAAATGTGGGAATCTCACACATAAAGAAAGAAAGCAATCAATTTCATAAATTAACTCTATACAAAGATGTGTAGATCATCCAAAAAGAAGTAACTTTCAGACACAAACAAAAAGAGTTCATTTTTGAAATTTATTTTTTCCTTCCTTTCCTTCCTTCCTTCCTTTCTTTTCCACATTTGTTGTATCAAGATGGAGAAGTAAAAAGCCAAAAACTTTCTTTCCACAAAAAATAAATAAAAAATTAAATATTTCAGGAACTCTTTCCTAGTAATAACTCATAAAATGATACCTTCTTTTCACTGTCATACACTGTCGGATTTCATTCACTTGCCACTTTATTTTTTGTTTTTAATGTTTTAATTTTCTCAAAATTGTATCTTTTCCAACAAACTACATCATAATTGTTTATGAAAAGTAAATAACCCTCTGACAAAGGACCTTTCCATTGATTTTGTTTGAAGTGTTACAAAATTAAACAAGTATTGAATGTGTGGTTGTTGAATTTATATTAATAATAATAATAATGGTCTCAATTGAGTGAAATACAATATACATCCAAAAAGCGAAGTTCAAAACTGCAGTGTAGAACACTACTTACAGGTTTGTTCTACCATTTAACCTCCTTAATATTGATATTGAAAAGATAAAAATTTATGCTTTTTTTTTGACATTCATGATGTATCTTCTACAATTTGAAAGAAGGCTGAATCAACAAGTTGTATCTATTTACGGGAATAAATAAACATGTACTTTCTTGTATGTCCAGATTTTGATTGGTTATAACTGCGCAAATTAAAATCTTCATTATTTATTCCCGGGGTGAATGGTATGAAAATTCTATTTCTTGCACACATCAATCGGGTAAGAAAATTTATATCTTTGGGCACTCAACATTACATATGTTGAAGTATCAGGAATTAATCAGACATGAAGAAATTCCCCAGAATATTAGAAGAATGGAGTGGAGGAGACAATCTGGTTTAGGAATATAGGAGACCACTTGGAGGGGGTCATAGAGGACCGAGCAAAGCATAGGTAAGTAGAGTTGTTTGAGTTTTGTTTGAATAAACAAAGCTAAATCAGTAGAGAATCTGCTAAAGTGTAATTAAGGATAAACTATAAAGTTCACCGCGAAAAGTTACTGCCATATTCAATTGCCATATTCAAAACCCAAAAAATTCTCTTCTTTCCGCTATCTTTCCTTTGACACACGTCAAAAGACTGATGTCCAGATGTCATATACAATAGTCTACATGAATGCATTTCCTTTTTTAACTTCTCGCCTCAATAATGGCAATCATTTCCATAGAGCTGTTTGAAATACACCTGTTAGCTGCTAAAATAATTCTCTGAGTTTTCTCATTTTTTTTCTTGTGTTTCTTTGGTGACAATTTTTGCTTGACTTCAATTTATTCTGTGATGACCAATTGATATTAGAATATACTCCGCTATCCCCGATTATTTTATCTACCTTCTCTTTATATATTCATGATGTTCAGTTTTTCTTACATCTAGGGAACTTCAAATTTCACCTGTATAACTCCATAGGAATAAGATATATTGTAAAAACATTTTCATTTTTTCATCAAAATTTTTGGTTATTGTTTGTATCAAAATTTCATAACGAATAACTTCAACATGTGATACACATTCATCAATTATTTTTTAGGAAACTCGAGAGCAGATGCCAGCAAGTTCACAAGAAGGAAAATAAATTCTAGAGAATAAATTGATGGATGTAGCTGTTACTACGTTGTAGGAAATCATAATAAAGAAAAGATAATTGAAACTTTCTACGTTTTTTACCACTTTTATTTGTAACTAACTAAGGACAGTTTCAAACTTATACATTAAACTAAAAATGATTGATTACATTAGCCCTTATATAGCACCACTGTAGGTAATAACAGAGGTACTTAGCTTAATTGAGTACCTGAATTTTGTTTACTTGCATAGCACAAAATTTCTGTATCGTTTAGAATCGAGAACTTGTGTTTGCATGCCAAGGAATGGTTTAAAAACCTTGAACTATTTTTACCTAGTCTGAAGTACCTTTCATGTTCAGCATACCGTTTTTGGAAATTTTGACCACATCGTCCCATATAAACACTATTACACTCGAGAAACATAAACTCCAGATTTCTTCAACTTGTCCACTTTATATTTGGCATTGAAAAGGAAATCAGATAACCTGGCATATGGTCTGAATGCCACTTTCTGAAGAAACCCACAATTATCTCTATTCTTTTACCAAAATATGTTTGAGTTACCCATTTCTTGATTTATGATTGTTTGATCTGGGGGTATATTAATCTGTAAGTAAATTCACGGCTTTGTTTTCTGACTAATTTCTGAATTGTATCTGCGTTGCAACCATTATTATGGCCATTATTATGACCATTATTATATGAATTCCCTTAGCTAGATTGTTACCATCCCAAGTGATTCTTTCCATCCAGACAGTCATAAATTAGCAGCCTACAATTCAATGTTGCACAGAGTATTCTCACTGCCTTTGTCTGCTAACAATCTAGCTAGAGAAATGGATATAATTACACAGATAGGCCATAATAATGGTTTCAACGCAAATACAATCCAGAAGTTAGTCAGAAAACAAAGCCGTAAATGTAAATTCACAAACATATCAATATTCCCCCAGATCAAACAATCAAAAATTAAAAAATGGGTAACTCTACCACATTTTGGTAAAAGAACAGAGATAATTGCGGGTTTCTTCAGAAAAAACAATGTGGAAGTGGCATTCAGACCACATGCCAGTTTATCTGATTTCATTTTCAATGCCAAAGATAAAGTGGACAAGTTGGAGAAATTTGGCGTTTATAAGCTTAAGTGTCCAGAGTGTAATAGTGTTTATGTGGGACAATGTGGTCGCCATTTCTAAAAACGGTATGCTGAACATGAAAGGTCCTTCAGACTAGGTGAAAATGATTCGACATTTTTAATCCATTCCTTGGCATGCAACCACACGTTCCCGAATATAAACGATACGGAAATTTTGCGCTATGCAAGGAATGGTTGCAAATTCAATTATTTGAAATCTTTGGAAATTCATAAGCATTGCGGGTGCAACCTGTTAAATGATGAAATCGATCTAGTTTACTCACCGGTTTTCAAATTAGCATATCCACATTGTCACAAGTAAACAAAATTCAGGTACTCAATTAAGCTAAGTACCTCTATTATTACCTACAGTGGTGTTATATAAGGGCTAATGTAATCAATCATTTTTAGTTTGATGTAGTTTGAAAATGTCCTTATAGGACGAAACTGCAGTAACGTTAGTTACAAAAAAAGTAGTAAAAACATAGAAAGTTTCAATTCTCTTCTCTTCAATTCTAGAGAATGTTTTCTTGGAAAAAAATACCCAAAAAGGTATGCTATTTATATCCTATCTCGAGGTCAGGCTGAAAAAGAAAGGAAGCGTCACGAAAGAGAAGAAAAGAAAATAGTGCTAAACAAAAAACCAATGTCTACCATCTGATGAAAGCCTTATAAGCTTCTTGAATCTACCGTTTGATGAATCAGAAAATGGAGTAGTTTCAAGAGAGAAACTCGAAACCTAGTAAAAGAAATCAATGGTATTGAAGAAAGGGAGTTAATCCTATCAAATTTTATGGGGAAAAACGAAGAACCATAAGATTCATAATTATATGAGTGCTGCATATTGCTGCATACAATTGGAGGTGATGAACTGAGAGTTTTGGGGTTTGAGTCAAATGAAAGTAGTGCAAAAGAAATTGTAGAGCTAAGGATGATGTGTCTAGAGTAATATTAAAACAAATTATTGGTATTCTGTTGGCTCCCTTTGTAACAATGAGAGGAAGGAAACTAACATATGTATTTTCCAGAAAACTGAAGATCAATGAAAAATCTTACACATATGTTTGGTTCAAGATCAATTACAATATGAAATCGACAAGTCTTTTACTCATATGATTTTCTAAAAAATAAGCTATAGTATGATGGCCCATTATGTTCATAATTGGTTAAAATACTATGTGAAGATATTATTTTTCAACTTTCAAGGTCAGTTATTATTCGTAGGTGATTTCACTATAAACAACATGAAGGTTGGATCTAAAAATATACAGCTTTTCAGAGTTTTCAGTAAACACAATCTCAAAACTGGTATCTCAAACTGGACCATAATTGGTAAATTTACCTTGGTGTATTTTTATTTTTATTCGAATAATTTTAATGTAAGTACTTAATATTTGCAAAAAATCTCACCTATTATCTTTACAGATAGTTTTTGTGTTTTCAAATGGAATAGGCAGTCATATTGCTGCCAAGCTTGAATCGTATGGAATTACTGTTAAAGGAGATAGGTTGAGTGATTCTCCTCTCAATTTTGATGGCAGTTCAGAGTCAGATGAATCTGATCAAGATGATTATATGTTACAAAGTCCAACTAATACTGCAGATTTATCTACAGAGAATATTAGTAACATTAGTAAAGTCAATCTAGACGTTTCAGCCATGTTAGCCTACTGTAGTTCAGTAACAAATGGAAGTGCTGAGTTACTTGATTTTGATGTTCCTGTTTTAAAGCAGCAAGCTGAATGGGAAAGGCTTAGACCACAAAAACCAATATTAGATGCAGTGTTTGAAGGAAAAACGTTATATTGCTGTGAGACAGCAAGGGACAATTTTTTGAATATTGTTGATACTGTTGGGGGACCCAGTGAAAAAGTTAGAGCCCATCAACTTCTTAATAGACTCATAGTTCTACCAGATGATGCAGATTTCAGGCAGACAGAAAATGACCACAAATCCCACAAAATATTCGAAAAAGTACAATACAGCGATGAAAAAAAATTGAAACCTGGGGGAAAGATAAAAGAGAGGTCCCTAATTATTTTTACATTTGGTGATCAAATTCAGGCAGTCACTGTTACTGCTAACGATGGATTCGTTAGAGCTGCTAAACAACAGGTAAGCATCTTATTTTCCTACAACCATCTGTTTTATACTGAACCTTACTAGCAAAATAGAGGGCAGCTGAAATTTGATCCTTATTGAAGAATGCAAATTCTGTGAATTTATTTCAACTATTCTCAACTGAAATCATTAAACTATTTGATATTTGAAAATGATGATCTTCTGAAAACCTCCTCATTTTAGCGTATTATCACTGTGGGCTCCAAAGAAGCTCTAAAACTCAGTACAATAAAGTACTTTGAGTACAATACTCAGTACTTTAGATACTTTGAGTGCCATCCTACAAATACTTTTATCAAATATATATGGGTACTTTATTTCAAGTAATCTCATTTAGGGAATGATGATACTTCAAGTTTTCTCAAAATAAAATTACTGGTCATTACAATTTTCACATCAATTACTGAAAATATTTTGAAAACATGAAAAAAATTTAAGTATTTGAAAATAAAAAAATCTCGATAATAAAAAAGCAAACAAAAAGAAAACACCAATATTAACTAATAATTCTCTTAAATGAAAACCATTCTCAACCATTATGGTTTCCAAGCTGCGAAGAATTTCCGATACTTGGTACTTCATACTCAAGTACTTCAAAAATGTGAAGTACTTGGCACTGAAACATTATAGATCTTCTATTCTATCATAGTTTTTTGTAGATTAAGTTAAATTCAGAAAAACAACATGAAATACAAAGAGAAAAAGTTGACAAATCCCAATACATTGTGAGTGGTATATGACCTATCTAATCCTGATAACTTTCGGACAGGTGGTCTCTATAATTGTTGTACTAATGATCATATATATTTGAAAGTGAATACTTACTAGTTGAGTATAGAATACAGGGTACTTCATACCCAAGTACTTCAAAAATGTGAAGTACTTGACACTGAAACATTATAGATCTTCTATTCTATCATAGTTATTTGTAGATTTTGAATTAACTTAAATTCAGAAAAACAAGTCCAGGATTCCTGCCAACATGAAATACAAAGAAAAAAATTTGACAATTCCCAATACAATGTGAGTGGTATATGACCTATCTAATCCTGATAACTTTCGGATAGGTGGTCTCAATACTTGCTCTACTAATGATCATATCTCTCTGAAAGTGAATACTGATTGTGACAATATTAAGATATCAAAGAAACTCAAAAATTTAATTACTTCTGGGGTTGACAATATACTCAGATTCCATATAAAGGACTGCCAACCACTGAAAGAGTGAAACGATTCCTTGGCTTCAACTATGATTTTCAATATAATTAACGGAAGAATAGACTGCCCGTATTCAATATCGCGGTAAGAAATTACGTTATAAAATTACTCCTTAAACCAATTTTCTAGTCAGCTCAGTATGTAAGCTTTTCAACTTAATATTTTATTCCATATAAACTTATATCATGAACCTTTATTTTTTTGTTATCGGGTGTACACCTATATAAATTGAAGGTATTATTATTATAAAAATATCATATAGGGCTATTCACTTCATCAATCTTAGGTTTCTTAGAACGAAGAAATCGTACGAGTTAATGATTTTAACCTTGGATGTTATAATGTAAATCATATATTGAAATATAAAATACTCCATATAAGGAAAACAAATTCATGGATTATTCTAATATATATTCTATCTATCTAATACTATAATTTTTATTACAGGGTATACATTTTGTAGTTTTTATTCATGAATCCAGAGCCTTAACAGAGCAGAAGGAGAAAATCAGAGCTATACCTCTCAATAAATAATAAATTAAGTGCCTTTAAATTTATTGAAAAGAAATAAAAATAATTTTTAATAGTTTTTCTATAATTTTAACTCTTCCAAAAGTTTGTGATTTGACCTTATCTTCTCCACTTAAGAAATATGTATTATATCACAATTTTTTTTGTATATTTCTTATTAATTTAACAATAATTAAATGTATATGGAAATTCAGCCATTGTGTAATATGTAATAATTTAATAGTAATACCTTCCCTATGAACAAGTTGAGTGCAATCAGGTTCCGTAATCTTTGTTACTTGTCAGGATTTTTGACCGTCATTAATTTTAAATAAGTTTCTCAGAGTTTCGCAAAATTCCAATACTAGTGATAGTCAATAATCCTGAAAAATAAAAAATTCTGCTGGTAAGAGAGTTGCCAAAGACAGGGTTAGGAAGGTAAGGTAGCTAGTTTCACTATTTTTTAGTTGTACTGTCCCTGATTTGACTGCAGGGAGATCCCAGAAATCTAAAAATCTCGTACTATCAATACAATAATAATAATGATATTGTTTATTTTCATTTGTCCTGTTTACATACTACACTGCTAATCTAATCTAAAAATGTGAAGGAGAAACGTACACATATACAATAACCAGGTACGATGTATCCCAACACCAAATCATTATTTTAACACCTCCACATACGTTTCGATCACCAAGGTACGCAGGTACCTAGCAAAGGTATCATGATACCTCTTAATTGTCTTTAATTAATTTTACAATGTGGTTTATGTGATAGTCGGGTAAATCTGATAATTAAAATATTACTTCAACAAGCTATTTAGTATACTATTAAGTATTGGTCCACCATCGTTATTAATAATATTATTGTGTTTACTTATTTCTACATTGTCTTAGGCATCTAGATACCTGTTGTTGTTAAATTGTCTAACTAATCTTGATGGAACTAAAGTTCATGGAATGGTTTTGTTGCAAAATATCGAGGGCGACATTGTCCCTTGAAAATCTTTCCAAATTTTTTCGTGTATTGGTGGTATGGAACTGAGATATATTCATCTTGGTGTTCGTCGTTTCTTAAAGTCATTTCATTTATTCTCAACCCAAACTTTTTCTTCCTCATGATATCATCTACAATACCTACAAAAATCCACAAACCAGGAAAATCAATGCACCCAATCGTGTCAGCTATTGGATCTTCTACCTACCAAATAGCAAAATGGCTCACTAAGAAATTTGAAGGCTTGCCCATTGCGGAACCAGGTTTTAGTATCAAAAACTCAATAGAGTTCATACATATAAAAAACATTGTTCTGCAAGAAGGTGAGATTTTGCTTTCCTTTGATGTTAGTTCATTTCCTAACGTCCCAATTCCACAGACCTTACAATAACACAGGAAATTACTAGAGAAAAATAATTTCAATAATAACGAAATTGATGAATTTGTTTATCTCACTAATTTATGTAGAAGGTTGCTATTACGAACAACACGAGGGAATGGCTATGGGTAACCTCTTGTCCCCCTACCTGGCAAACCTGTTCATGAGCAAATTCGAAATGGAAACTAGGATATGGCTGAGGTATGTGGATGATGTTTTTGCGATATTCAATAACAAAAAAATCGAAAATTGACGCTTTGTTTCCTTTTTAAATAAAAGATTTCCATCAATAAAATTCACGGATGATTTAGAAAATAAAAGACAACTTCAATTTCTTGACGTTTTGGTAATGAGGAGCCAATGTGGAAAGCTAGAATACGATGTATTTAGGAAGGAAACAAGCACTTACAGGTATATTCCTGACAGTTCACATCACTATGGACAGCACAAATGTGCTGGGCTGAATTTTCTAGTGCATCTTCTTTTGACTCTCTTGAGGGGTATTGTAGATGATATTACAAGGAAGAAAAAGTTTAGGTTGAAAATGAACGAAATTTCGACTTTAAGAAATGGCAAAAACCAAGATAAATATATCTCAGTTCCATACCACCAATACACGAAGGACTTTAGAAAAATTTGCAAGGAACTAGGTATGAAGGTGGTATTTAAAACCAGTCATTCACTACAGAGCCTTTTAGGGAATCTGAAGGAAAAAGTTGAGAATTTAACAAAACCATTCCATAGTTCATTAAGATTAGTTAGACAAGTTAACAACAACAGGCATCTATATGTCTATGAGAGTGTAGAATTAAGTAAACATACTAATATGAATAACAATGGTGGACCAATACCAAATAGTATACTATATAGATTGTTGAAATAGTATTTCAATTATCAGATTTACCTGACTATTAGATAAGACCACATTGTAAAATTATATTGAGACAATTAAGATGTAGGTACCTAGCAGAGGTATCTATGGTATAAAAAAGGATAACATTGTATGTACATTTAGTTTAATCTTCCTCTTGACGATGATCACTTAGTGATTGAAGCACGTGTCGAGGTGTTAAAAATATCTGTTTGGTGTTGGTGACAAGTTATGTGAACTTGTGGTAAAAAAAGTTTGTCCCTATTCCTGGTCACACACTTCTTAACATATTTCAAAGTTGGAAATTCATGTATATACAGAAAGTATAGATTAATGACCGTTAATATGCTTTCATAAATAAATATAGGATGGCAGGAATCCGTATGTTTGAAATCAAACATACTTCTGAGGATACGTTTTAACAAATTAGTAATATTTTTGGGAAAGAAAGGTTTTGGCTTTCTACTTATCCATCTTCATACAAAAAAAGTGGAAATCTTCCAAAGAAAAGAAGAATCAATCAATTTCAAAAAATTAACTCAAGACAAATATGTGTAGATCATGCAAAGAAGTAACTTACAGGCACAAACTGGAAGAAGAAAACCCTCTCGAAACAATTACTTCCATATAAACATTGAATTGCATAAAAGAAAATATACTTTCAAAACAACTACTTCTATATGAACAATGAATTATACAAAAAACCCCTTTTTCCTATTCAGTTTTAACTGTAAACATATGTTATGGAATTGAATCAAATATCATTCACGGAATTGCTACACAATATAGTATATGAAAGAGGTAAACTTTCACTTATATGGAACACTGTCATCCTCAATGGTGGACATCCGATGTTTCAGAATGAGATACTTGTCTAAGACAAGTGTCCGACCGAAAACGAATTTCGGCAACGACCTCAGTTTCGGCCGAAACCGAAACTTCTATTAAAGGATTATGTTTTGAGGGAAAAATAAAGAAAACGTTATTATAATCAGTCAGTCTCTATTTATTTTATCTTTAAATCACAACGTTATGCAAAATATTAAACATAAAATCACTTATTTAAGTTATTGCCTAATAACACAATACTTAATATTTATATAATAAACAAAGTAAGTCACGACATGATTAGGCACGTGGACGCGGCAAAATGTCTTCGTCGCTTATATGAAATTCAACGCGCCGAATATGACCGATCACAGTGCGGGAACTCCCGAATGCAGTTTCGGTCGTAGTTTTGGCAGGTTTGCCACCGAAACTAAACTGAAACTCGTTTTTTGCCGAAACTTGACCGAAACCGAACTTTCGGTCGGACACTACATGTCTTATTGCCTCTTCAGCAACAATCTGGATAAGATTACGAGATGAAGCACTCGATTCATTCATAAAATTACGACTTTATGTCACAAATAAGTTAAATTTACTCATGTCGTCAATGACAGTGGCAGTATGTTATAAAGTTTATTGTGGCTGGGATTAAATCAAATAAGTGAATGAATGTCATTACGTACTGTCATGTGTACGTTTCCTGATTAACTTACCTATTATATTTGAAGGATACCTTTTACTTTCAACTCTGTCCCTACCATTTTATATTGTGTGACCTATCAGGAATACATCTGAAAGTACTGGTATTTTTCCTATACACATCAAATTCTAGACCCTGGTTACCTATAATCATCTACACTTCCAAGAATGGTAACTCCTTGTTGTTTTCAATTTCATATGTGAACTTAATGTTCGGGTATCTGTTGTTGAAAGTTGAAACAAAGTCCTCTACCCTAGATTCCTTTGTGTCAAAAATTGCAAATATAGCATCTGCATATCAGATACAAGTCCGTGGTGAGTATCTAACTTCTCTTTCGCTTCCAATTCAAATATGCCCATAAATGATTAACTGTATAAATAGTTGTTGAACTAGAAGCAGTTCTGTTTAATAGTTGCATGTAATCGTGGATTACTTCTCCACTGAGATCATCTACCCTCAGGAGATACCTCAAATATTCAGGGACTCTAACGAGCATCGAGGATACATCAAATGATAGTAAAATCTTACCATCTCATAACTTAATATCTGTAATTTAATCTATGGACTCATGTGAATTAACAGAACTTGAAGCTAATTGAGAGATCGAGAGAGTTTCAAACTGTTGGGTTAGCCATTTTGCAATTTTATGAATAGGGGAACTAATGGTGGAGACAGTTGGGTTGCACCTATCTGCTAGATTTGTGAATTTTTCGTAGATTGCATATTTTAGAAACTGTAGAATTACAAATCTGTGGACATGTTGAAAGTCGGTGCAATACAATTTTGACATTTCTTGAGTGTGTTGTTCACTTCTGAAACCAATCTCAGGTAACTGGTTCCTTGGTGAATTATTATCATGAAAAATGATAAATACACCTTTTTATGTTTTTTTACCACTTGTATTTGTAATTAACGTTGCCGCAGTTTCGTCCTATAAGAACATTTTCAATCAAACGAATACAACTAAAAATAATTGATAATGTTAGTTAGCTCTTATATATCTAAACACCACTATAGGTACTTATCTTGAGTACCTGAATATTATTTACCTATGACAATGTGGGTACGCTAATTTGAAAACCGGTGAGTAAACTAGAGATCGATTTTCATTTAGCAGGTTACATCTGCAATGCGTATGCTTATGCATTTCCAAGGATTCCAAATAATTGAGTTTTCAACCCTTGCTTGTATAGCGAAAAATTCAGTATCGTTTAGATTGAGTTCTTAATTTGTAGTTGTGAAAACACAAATTCAGTTATAATGAAGTCAGTTCAAGGTATCTATTGTCTTTTCGAAAATCAAAACAAAACGAGATCATGATCAAAAAAGCATTGATAGCACAAAAGTAAAAACTTGAAAACTACAAATATTAATATTTCAATTTGATATATTATCACTAAATGACTCCCATATACCTATTTAGATTGAAAACGCCCCTGTAAAATTTCAATTTATCAACATTGATTTTTGTTAATTAGTGATCTAGTAAGACACAAAATTTTAAATGTTTATTCTAAAATACACAAAGCGTTCAAAGTTGAAGAAAGAATTTTTATTAGCTATTCACAAAGTACCGATCCACTGGAGTCTGAGTGCCTTCAAGTTGCTGTTCAAAGTTGCTGCTCAAGTTCAAAATTTAAAAAAAATATATTCATCAATAACAAAGACATGACAACTCAAAATTCGAAAATTCACTAAATTACCAGTCACAAAAAACACTATGAATTTGTACAACTAAACATTTTTGACATTAATTTTTTCCTGGTATTTAATTAATGTGCAAACTAAGATACAGGGCATCATCAGTTTTTATCATTTTTTGTTATCATAAAGTTTCAAATGAACTTGGGAGATCATTGAATCCACATAAGAGATGATTACCACCTGAAATCCTTGATATGAAAATGTATGACGTATTTTTTTGATTATCCTTTCATGCTTGAAAAAAGTAAAATAATAAATTAACAAATATCTTTTTTGCAGAGAAGTAGGTTTTTAAAGCAATAAATTTGAAAAAAAATGAAAAATTAAATAGCCATAGGGTATCAAATGATTTAATTTTTTTTGAATCTAAGATGTCTATTATTTCGGAATCGATGCCCAACAAGAATAAATAATCTTCAACACCAACGTTGGGGTAGGAATTAATCTTACATTTACCAAAACCAAAACTTGTATGACATGACAAAATAAATCACTTTTGTTGATACAAAGATCGAATTTTATGAAAGCCCAACAGGGTTTTATGACTCACGTAAAGGGGTTATTTTTCCTATTGTTCTGTTGCATTTTTTTATATGGGATTTGGTTAGACAAGATCTTTCATGATGAGTATTTGAATTTGTGAAAGCAGTAAAAAACTTTTTGACAAATTTACCCGTCCTGTGTTAAAATTTTAAGAGATCATATTATATGACCTCAAAAAAATTAGCATGAGCTTACGTTCTAATAGGGGTACTAGGCTGAAGTAAACGTTTTGAAAATTCAAGTAATAAGTTTTCACCAGTCTGAATTGCCTCGATTTCAATTGTCTAATTAATTTCAAATATATTTTTCACTTATTTCTCTCACACTCTTCCAATTTCCTTACAAAAGAGGCATGATACTCTGTGGAAAATGTAAAAATGCTTCGTTAATATTATTTACCCAGGCACCCAATATTTAAAAAACTTTTGTTTGACAGAAACCATCTTCAATTTCATTTGAACTGCTTCATCAATTAACATTATTCAATATTTTCAGTAATCTTGTTCTGAATAAAAAAAGAATTCAAAAAGCATATGTATTGGGAAATAAGATTACAATATTTACATTACACATATTTTTATAAATAATTACAATTTCAGCAATAAAACTTAATCAAAATCAATCACATTTTAACAACTATGGGGTTCATTAAATAGACGTGTAAATTAAGATATCAAACTATTTTTTTCAATAAAAAATTGGACAGTCTTCTTTATACGAGGTTCTTGTAAATTAAGTGGCCAACTTTCATGATGAAATGATTTGTGTGACTGATTGCCCATCTCAGAAAAATCCCAGATAATTTTCAGGCCCCTCGTAAAATTTCATTCATAAGTATTTATTATACACATTTATTACAGTTTTAGTTATATTATTTCGAAGTTATTTGAAAAATTCCCAACATTATTTTAATGAAATGCTTGGTCAGAATGAATGAGCAAGGGAATTATTAAGACAAAACTTAGTAGCAATCTTTTACAACAAATTCCTTCTTGCCCATTCTCGGCATAAAATCTATGAATTTAACAACAGACCCATCAGTAGAGGAGACAGTTAGGGGCAATCCTTTCTTTCCAGTTAAAAAATAGTAACCATCGATATTAACATACAGAAATCAATGTCAAAACGATTCATTTATTATTTACGCTAAATAAAAGAAGTAACACATACTGTTTTCTTATAGGATTTGTTTTTTTTTTCAAACTGAAAAATATTAATTAAATTCGTTTAGAAATAATTTGAAGATATCAAACAATCTATAAGTTCTAAAATTTCAGTTTTTACTGCATTTTGATAACAATTCTAGAATTCAACACCAAGAGAATTGAAGGGTTTGAGAAAAAAAGGTTAGATTTACCCCTGATCTGATCGTCTACTTACATAGATTAGAAAGATATGTTAAAAATTGTAGTGACTTAATAAAATCTAGAGGCGTAAGATCCTAGAAAAATACTTTGAGAAAATACTTCTAAATGAATCACATTATTACTAACCACGATACACAATTCTTCATCACATTCTTCAACAAATATTTACAAGATTAAAAACCATAAGGTTTAGGAAATTTTACAAGCAATAAATTAAATAAAAACATCCTTTATGTGCCTCCTCTCACTCCATTCAGATGAAACTCAAATTAGTTTTCAAAAAATCGGATTTTAACCCATACTATTGTAGAAAATTTTATAGTACAGAAAAAGGTAATAACCCATTTTTTGTACAATAGATAGTTCTGGTGATAACATGAAAAAATTTGTTAATCTGCATTACCAAAAAACTCCACTCCCATATGAAATAAAGATCTGATAAAAACTTAGCATGCAAGGAAGTGAAACAGATCGATCAGCAGAGATGGAGAACCTCCACCAGGAGAAAAAATAAAGTTGAAAAATGAAAAATTAGTGTATGATGAGGGACATGTAATACCATATTCATTTCTCCATTACTAAATATAAATGTTTATTCCTGATATTGAAATAGTAACTGAGCTTCTGATTCAATAATAGTGAGGATATATTTCATGTCTTTTAAATCTACATCTTCCAAACAATGAAGAACAATAGGAGTTACAGAAATGTGACACATTTCTGGATATTTGTCTGATCAGTAGTTTGTGTGGAGGAAAAATAACAGCTCTTCTGATTTGACCTATCGGGAACAATTTAATACTGTTAGTGTTAATTTTCACTTCATGAGCAAACAAATGGTGAGAGAGAATATGTGAGGAACTGAAGTGGAAACAATACCAATAATCATAATAATAATCCAAAGATATATGTTGGGAAGTATCTAATAGTCAGTTTCCAATATCCACCAGGCTTTTAACAGAGACACCTGCCGTACTTCCGCCAAGATAAAAGTTTTAGCTCTTCCATCCAAGTGGTCCATCAAAGAAATATTGAAAACTAACCGTTCACATACGAAATTTTCTATCCCAGTCGAGACACACCTACTCAGAATCTTCTTCGGCACCTTGGTCGAAACCGGTCAGATCCGCCGACTGCAAGTGACCTTTCATCAAAGCGTATTCTATAAGAGCTAAGTGGCAGAAAATATACTGATCGGGCATTTGGATGGAGTAAGCTCGTTGCGATCGTATCCGTTCTACTGTACCACGGATATCTGCAGTTCCAATATCCTCTAGTCTGGAGATGCATATGTCCAAGGTGCAAAAGGTTCCTGAAAAGTACAGTTACTGATATATTCTTCTGCATGACTAGGAGAACAGAAATGAAAATTGTTGGTATTTGATCAGAGTGTTTTGTTGTTGTTTGAGATAGTATTTCATATTGGATCTATTTTTCAAGCAAAACCATTAGAATCACGACAGAAAATGAATTTATGAAAGGATTGACCCTTTACTAGATGAAAATTGATAATTATTATGGACAGTAAAAAAATGAATGAGCAATATGCCGATATATCAACAAGGATTTCTGTTACAAGAGGTGTGATGGACACAAAAATTATTGAATTTCATTTTACGATCATGAGATCAAGTTCTTCTTGGCGATAAATCAGTATTAAAAAAAAATTTGTTTAAAAAAAAACAAGTCAATCTTTTTGTTCATGATACGTCTAAATAAAAGTTGAGAATTTATAGATCTAAAACAAATTTCAGAAAGACTTAGCTAGTTTGATTCAACGGTCATTTTTTATATTGAACAAAATACATTGTACTTATTGCTCACAAATTAAATTTAGGCATCGTAGATAATACGGACAGGTTGTGAATAAACTTACTGTATGCAGATCAATGTAAAAGTTCATCAAATTTTATTTGTGATTACATACAATTTATTTTGTTTAATCAAAGGGACTAAATCTTAAATTTTGCAAAGTAATTGTTTTTAATTCTCAAGCACTGCTCTCATTTACATTCTGAGGGATCGACATGAAAGGGTATGTTACCTGAAAAGAAAATAGCCTTCAAGGCTGACTTGTTTTTCAAAAACTGAAAGTATTCTGAAAATTCACTTCTCACCAAGCCTAACTTCATCTTACAAACTTAAAATGAAATTCAATAATTTCTAGCCCATCGCACCTCTTATAACACTAATTCTGGCACACATAGTATATAGACATATTGGTAAGTCAATATATCAGACATTCATATTTACCTATTCTTAACTTATTTGACTGGATTTATAAATCTCATTGACAGAGTTTTCTGATAAGTGATATCGTTACATGATGAAATTGATATCAAGTGATTACAAGAAAAAATATTTTATGTTAGTTGAGTTTATGTAGATATAACATAAAATTATAACCACCAGCATAAAACGAACCTCACTTCTGAGATAAAATGTGTCGTAATTACTATTCAACGGTTCTATTGGGTTGAAAAAAAATGAAAAGGGAATATGCCAACACACTTACCAGTTCTTCCAATGCCTGCACTACAATGTACAACAATAGGAGGTCCCCTTGGATGTCCTGCCCACGTATCACCTAAAGCTACCACCATACTAGCCTGTTTCCGCCTCACCCTCTCTAAAAATTCTAACATGGCCTTGGCAGAATGTGGTACTCCATAGTCTGGCCACGAGGTGAATTGCCAATGTGAAACTTCCCGAGTTTCATCGGTCTGAAAATAATATTTGTTTTCTGACTTCCGCAACATACCACAAAAAGCACATACATTATTAAATTGTGGAAAATTAATTCAATTGAGAGGATAAAAAAAAGCTCTAAAAAAAAGGAAAACTTCAAATGAAATACAAATTACACAATTTATATGATATAAAAAAGCTTGCCATGACATTTTCCTTAAAAAAACAACACTTCTTAGAAATACTCATTTCAAAATCAAGTTACATATTATGTTATTGTTTATCTACACACGTAAATATCGCGACATCATACAAATTGGGTAATGTAATGTATTGATTGGTTTTGCCATGAGATTTTCGTTAAAAAACAACACTTCTTAGAAATACTTATTTCAAAATCAAGTTACATATTATGTTATTGTTTATCTACACACGTAAATATCGCGACATCATACAAATTGGGTAATGTAATGTATTGATTGGTTTGGTTCAAAGTTTAGTTAATTTTCAGAGAATATGAAAAATGTTTTTTACCAACAATCTATCATTAATTTAATGTTCCTCAGTCTGTACTTTTGATGCATCATTGTTGTAAGGTCTTTCCTTTAAACCTTTCTTCGAGCAACACCAAACTATCCCTAACCTTTACCGAGTTATAACTCTTTAAAATGGTATGTCGCCATTTTGAATAATTTCATAAAAGATGCATCTACGGCGGTCTGCCATATTGGATGTTGAGTGACGTCATTTTGTTTTTCGTATTTTAAGCAAATATTTGATACCCATATCACATAAACGCAAAAAAAATAACTACTTTGTCATCTTGGACGCTCCGTCATATAGGACTCAAGAGTGACGTCATGTTATTTTTCTTATCCTTTTCAGCAAACCCTTTCAATTGAAACCCATCATGAAGATGCATTAAAAACTAGTCTGACATATTGAATGCAGAATTATGTCATTCACCTCAGCTCAGTTGGTTTGAGGATATCTGCTTTTAAATTCAACAATTGCAACAAACATTGCAAGTTAAATACAAGTTTCTGATAAAACTAAAAGCAATAGGAATACTCACTTTACTATTTGTTAAGCTAATTGTTGACACAGTATAATCCGGATCTGTTTCCACAGCCAACGTTTTAACTATGAATTGACCATAAACTACTTCACCATCCACCTGAGTTTCCCAGTACTGGTGACACTTCAGTCTCCCTCTTTCCATTACTCTAGTTGTCATCACTATTATTAATGTGTGTTGTTCCCATATCATGCGCCAAAAATCTGTCGTCGTTTTCGGTAAGGGTCCTGAAATAATGAAGTCAATTAACATGCATGCTTATTTGATAATAAAATTACAATTTTTATTGACGCTTTTCCGAAATCCGAAAAATATGAAAACTTTATAGACGTGTGAAAGATGCAAACTTTTTAGTTCACCCCTATAGGTACTGCATAAATTCCAAGTATTTTTCAAAAAGAAAAATGTTCTATTGATAAGTGACTTGTAGTATTTAATAATTTTGCATACCAAAAAAATAGCTAAGAAATTATATAGATACTTATCTTAACGTTTCAGAGGCCTCTCGGAATTGGAAAGAAATTTGAATCTATAAGCAGTTTTTCTTCTCTCATACTTCCTCGACAAATGTCAAAGGAGTTTTGAAATTTAAAATATGTAAATGTTTTTGATCGACTTCTGAAACATTATATGCAGTACAAGTTTCAATTATCATTTTTCAAAATGTATAATTGGTATACAAGGACATTTTCAAACGTTTATTGTACGAGTATTCATTCGAAAATGTTCTTGTAGGATGAAACTGCAGTAACATTAGTTACAAATACAAGTGGTATAAAAACATAGAAAGTTTTAATTCTCATTTTTCATGACAACCTTCTACCACGTAGTAATATCAATTCAATTCTCTTATTTTTGTCAGAATATAGTTCCAGATATTTATAACACTTTATTTGTTGATATCTATGTGATTTTCATTAAGAACCATCTTCCAAAATGGCTGATATATTTTGTTCTTATTTCTGGTTTCATGGTAGTGGATGGACATTTTGATTCTTAGGGATATTTTGTTGTTGTTTAAAAACTATGATAAGTTTGAATATATAAAGGCATGGCAAGGTTAAGATTCCAGACTTCCTAAACAGTTCTTCACATGATGTTAGAGACGAGACTCCCATCATGTAGCAAATTGCCAAAAACGACTTTCCTCGATAGGAAGACTAAACAGATTGTCTCTGGTCTGGATTCCTGGCCATACTGGCCTGGAAGATAATGAAGCTGCTGACTCTCTTGCAAAGGAGGGTGCTGCAAGCGGCTTCATTGGACCAGAACCTGTCATTGGCATCGCTTTGGGCTTTGCCAAACAAACATTGAACACCTGGATGGCAAAAAGATTTATGGACTTCTGACAGAATCTTCCAGGAGGCGTTTATCCACCCTTCAAAGCTTGAATCATCATTTGCAGACACTCGGACTGTCGGAAGACAGTGTGTGTCGCCTCTGTTTGAAAAATGATGAAACAGCAGAGCATATACTTTGTGCCTGCCCTGCTGGGGACCAAATCAGGTTCTTAGAATTCGGCAGATCGGTACTCTCACCATCTGACCTGAAAGACCACTCACCATACAAACTAATCGGCTTCGTTAAGAAGCTGGGTTTATTTGTCTGAGTGTGAATAGGTGTGAGCCACAATAAACCCTTGCTGGTTGCGGTGGAGGGTCGAATAGACCCACTCACTTAGACCTAACCTAACTCATCATGCTTCCTAATTTTTTCTGCATAATGAATGCAGACTATGCATAGTGTGCCCCAATATTATTCTTCTTTGAATTCTTGCCTGAGTACAATCATACTCTATAGAAATGACTCGTTCTTTCTGGTCTCAACAGAGTGCTGTACATTTCATTAAGAAAAAACAGAATGTCATAAAGTCAGAGGTTGATTAATAATACCTTCTCATATTCAATAGCTTCATACTCATAGACTATGAAAACACTTAAGGAATCTATAGTATAATGAAACACCTATTGCAGTTTTGTAAAATATCCTGTGAAAATCTCACAATAAAGTGTTATTTGAATAAATTATGGATTTTCATCAAGTATCGGCCAATTCCATCACAATGAACTTGAAGATACAAATAATACTAGAGCCATGAAGTACCTGGACATTTGCAGGATGATAAGAAAAAACAACTTCACATAAAGTAAGGTGGCATACTTGTATGAAGAATTCGGCGATTCCAATATGTGTTTGATTAGTACCTCGTTTACAGGCAGATGGAGCGATGACAAATATATTGTCTGTCATTTGCTTCAGCCTTGTTCGAGGAATGATACTCTGAAAGGAATTCGATTTTTAATTATAGAAAATCATAAGACTTCATGTTTGTGATGACACTACCTTGCACTAACGACTAGCCAAATAGCCGGAAACCAGTCTGCAAGTGTGTTCCAATAATTGAAAATCGATTCTGGAAGTTGTATCGCCAACAGCAATAGCAGGAGTTACTTCTGTGAAGAATCCTTCACCGTCCCCTGTTGGATATAATCCAACGCTCTTCGTGGTATTAGCCAGATAAGTAGTTGTTTTCTGATAGGTGTCAGCCCATTATTCTACAATGTAGGTGAGTTGAGACTGGCCTGAACGAATTCTTCTTTTAGATAATTTACTCTACTCATGTCACGATGACAATATGTAAAGACATTCATATGCTCATTTGATTCAATATCGGCCATAGGAATAGGAGTAAATTTTGACATATTGTGTGATACAAAGTCATAATGTCACGAATGAAATGAGTGCTTTATTTTGTAATATTATCCAGAACAGTGCTGTTGAGCTCAAAGTCCGCCATAGAGAATGATAGTCTTTCATGTAAGTGAAGATTTATATTGTTAACTCTTTCATATATTCTATTGCGTAGTGTTTCTTGGAATGATATCTGATTCGATTCCATAACGAATGCTTGGATTGATTATTAACCGAACAGAAAAAAGTTATTTTCAAATAATTCAATGTTCATGTGAAAGTAGTTGTTTTGGAAGGACATTCTCTTCCAGTTTGTATTTGAAAATAACTTCTATGTATGTTCTACAAATATTTATAAAGGGTCAATTTGAGATTTTGACCTATTCATTTCCTTCAAATCCCTGGGGATTTGAAAGATTTTTTCATCCATTCCAACAATCTTTCTTCCTGTACATGTCCTTTTTTCATATTCTTCTGGACATAAAATGTGAGCTGATTATGGTTTCTCTAAGGATTTGTATATCAGTTCTCATACGTATTGTATTAGAACTGGGGGTAAGCCTAGATTTAGTTTTTGTATTGTTATATAACAGTCCCTATAGCCCTACATTATTCAACTCTCTTCTGGATCTGTACAACTATTTCTGCTAAAATTCCACCATTCAATAGTGACCATTCAAATATATACTTTGAAAAGAAGTGGAGAAATACTAGTCACAGTGCACAGGATTTCTGTTTGAAGTTCAATAATATTTTGTGAACTGCCTAATGAAACGATTTCAGAAACTTTTCAAATCTATGAACACTGATCCTTCTAAAGTAAGTTTTATCTGGATTTCTCTAAAGAAAGTGTATTGTTCAATTAGAAATATTGTTAAAATACAATTATACAATTCTCACCTTGTGTATTGATGAATGCATTCTTTTGTTTATACCCATCGACGAAATTCGCGTGAATATAATCATTGTCATAGTCATTGTCTACTTCAGATAAAATCACTCTGCTATGGTCATAACACAACACATCAGTATACCTGTTTTTAGGCAGGTTATTTCTTGATTTAGCTATGTTGAATGTACCATCAGGAGGCCTCAACCTAAAAATGAAGAAGTAATATAAGGCCATAAGCTCATAAGTATCAAATAATTCAGTAAATGGGTTCACTAGAACAAGTGAATCTTTTAAAACCAGAATTGAGTGACCTAAAACTAAGGTCAACTTTCATTCTGCAATACTGGTGTGGTTATGGATTGCAGAATTTCTTTTAGGCGGGGCAAAAACTGAAAAATGCCGCCCCCGCCCAATTATATTTATTTTTACCTATCATCTTTATATTTCAGTATCAGATGTCCACTAATTGATTGACATTTTGGACATAGGCCTTTCGGAAATAATGCATCCATCGCTGTTTTTTCTGTGTTAAGCCTATATATTTACAGATATATAGACATGAACGTGTAGGACATATACTTTATACGTAGCCCAGGATAGGATTTATAATAAAAATATGTATAATAAAAATAAAAATCAAATATCTTATTACAAATCCAAAATACAAATCATGAAATTATGAAACAACAATAAAAATTAATTGGCGCTCCGGGGCGACTTCATTTTGATTCCAGTGGCGCATTTTCTTCATCAGCTGCAGAAAAACCCTGAAAAATCTGCAGCACCACATCATCTTATTGAATACTGTGAATTTTACTCTTCAAGCTTTTTGTTCACCAAATGAACCTATGACTTTGTCATAATTTAACTCGTATGCGATTCGATTTTATATCACTAAGATTGCAGGACTCGATAAGCGTTCTTGGCTCAGAGAAGATCACAAATAATTTTTATAACTAGTTATAGTTTGCTGAAACTTTGCTCACAGCTTGCAGATGTAGTAGGAAGCGTAAAGTAAGTTCGCAGAGCAAGACAAATATTAGGAAAAGTTTCCTGCAAATCATGCACATAGATATGTTGCAAGAGATAGAAACCGTTTGCCTTTTTTATATCACCGAATGAAAGTGGAGCTTGCTCTTTAAAAACATTGAGTTCCTGGCAGAATTCAACGGTGCTTGAATCTCGCTCGTATTTTCAAGCCAGAGCTGCTCCATACTTATGCAGTTCTTCAACTGACATTTTCAAAATATTAGTACTATTAAGAGAAGCAAAATTCAAATTCAGCATGATACCACAATCAAACCCCTTTTCAATTTCTGATATGATTCAATCAAATACCATAATTTTTTCTTTAGGAAATAGTTGAACGGGTTGCGAGTGTTTGTAATTTGTCTTCACACATTTCATCGAAATGTTTTTTACGTTTAGGAATTCGTCTGTTTTGTAAAATAGAATACCAGTTTCATTCAGCAACTTCTCCAGGTTCTTTTATCCAATATTTCATTGGATTTTGTCTAATTTTTTGCAAAGTTTTAGGCAGACCATCCATTAGTACGACGTAAATGGCAAAGATAATATCTTCTTTCTGAATTTCTATATTCACTTGATAGAGTTCGTGAAAAAAATTCGCCCAAATAGTTGAATTAGGAATAAATTTTAAATTCCTTATAGCAGCTAAGAAATGACCTGCCTCGTACTTAGCTCCTGGAGCTAAGGCTTCCACTACTTCCGGCAAATTATTTCAAAAGACATTCACAGCAATATGTTTCGCCTACATACTTTTACATTTGTTTTAACATATTTTTTTAAATATTGTCACACATAATAGTGGAACCAACAAAAAAGCAATATACTTTTTGAATCAGTCCAAATAGGTTAATAGCTTCTTGGCATGATGAGGCAGAATGAACAACTACAAGATTTTGGGAGTGAGCCAAGCAAGGTAAGAATTCGGCCACCTCTTTCGATTCTGCGATCCTAGCTTGTACTCCTTTATAGCTGCCGGCCATATTGAACCCATTATCATAAGATTGACCACGACATTGTCCAATATCTAATATGATCGACAAGTACTAAATAGTAAACACAAACAGCCAACACACACGTTGAACTTGCCGCCCGAGGCATAGGCCTCGACTTGCCGCCCGGGGCATAGGCCCTGACTTGCCGCCCGGGGCATAGGCCCCGACTTGCCAGCCGGGGCGTAGGCCTCGGCTTGCCCCCCCCCATGTTCAAATATTGTCAATTGTATTTCTCTCATACAAATAAAACAATATTCCTTCGTTTGACAATGAAGTTTTTATCAAAATTAAGAAACGGGATGAAGCCTATAAAATATTTGTGACTACGGTGGGAGATGAAAATTTAAAAATAATTAGATGGGAAAATTTTAAAAAATTGAGAAACGATGTGGTTAACTCATTGAAAATAAAGAAAGTTCAGTATTATCATAACAAAATAGACAGATACAAGAATAATTNTCAATTAAATCTACTCTATCAATACAGATTTTCAAGAGCGAACTGTTAAAATATATTCATGATGGAAATTGAAAAATTCCTTTTTATTGAGTTAAAATTATGTACGTATATAAAATTGTATTATTTATATACATTTTGTTGATTATATTATATTTTAAGTTAGCTAACCTGTATATTAGGGAATCCTAATTCAATAAATAAATTCAATTCAATTTGAATGTTAACTAAGTCATTTTACATGTAAAAATTGTAGAGATAATACAGGAAAGAAACGTGGAATTAGAACTTGAAATGTATTTCTACCTTATTTCAGCATATTCTTGCATCAATCCAGTTCGCCCTCTATCTCTAACGTAATCAACTAACTGAGTTGCTGTCAATGCAGCTCCATCTCCATGTAAAGAATCATCATCCGAAAATCCACTGGAAGCGCTACTTGGAGGATTCAGATTTCCTTCTTCTGCCCAACTATCTACTCCATTGCCCGAAACAGAAATATCAATGTCGCTGGGGGCTGAGGCCCGTTTTTGAGGTGATGGCGATTTACCATCTGAAACCAATGAAAGCTAATTTGAACTGTGATAACAATCAAACTAAAATCAATCAAAAGGATCTGAAGATTTATTGTGGAATGATTATTTTCTGTCACTGAATTTTGAAAACATTTTTCTATAGAAAACAATAAAAGCCATCGAGGGTAGGAAATAAAAATGGCAATTATCTTGTATAAAGCATACAAAAGTCTGCAAAAATCGCAGGAATCGTACGTTAAAAGGTAAGACCTCGTAAATCCATAACTATTACAAGTTTCGGCTTTGGAGAGTTATTGTTAATAGAGGGTTCGGAAAAACCTATGTTTTATTTGGGAACAGTGCTTGTTTTAGAAAAGTATATTCCATAGTAAAAAGTTATCGAAACATTTGTCAGAACTTGACACAGCAACAAACAAATTTCTCCGTTGTTAATAATGGTGTTATTTCTCATCTTTGAGTAATAGTTTACTTCTCATTATCAGAAATAATTTCTTTCAACAAAGTTTCACAAAAACAAAACATTGAAAACTGTTACTATGAGAATTATGAGGTTATCAAAATTATTATTATTATAACTAAAAAGATGTGTCAAAAATTATTTTATCATTTTAGAAACTACACCTCAACGATTTGATTTCCACAAACTTTATTTGAAAATAGTATATCACAACATGTTTCGCTAAGACATTAGCTTTTTCAAGTGATTTGTACATCAAATTATCCTTAC